TAACTTTATACTAGGTCTTAAGTAACGCTATAAAGTTATTAAAGATATCCTTAATACCTATTATTCTTTCTATTAGGTAATAGAACCTTATAGATATATCTATATAAGTAAATAAAGCGAAGTTCTTTTCCTTATTATATACTATTATAAGGCTAAGGTAAAGGTTAAAGCTAACTTATACCCCTAGACCTTTAGGCCTTAGTAATAGTATTTTTCTTAAAACTTCCCTCTTAGCTTTCTCTATTACGTATATTTAATAGCTATATATTATAGGGCCTTAAAGCTTAGTACCTAGGCAGGCTTCTAATAGCTTCTCTAGTAATCTTAGACTAGGATGCCTAAGGCGGCGATACTATAGGTTACCTACCCCCTTAGTTAGCGGCTTAGGCGCTTATATAACTATAAATACCCGCTTCTTATACTATAGGAGTATTCCTATTATAAATTAACCTTCGAAGTCGGTTAGTTTAATATAAACCTCCTTCGTAGGTTCTAACTAGAAGTATCCTAGGAGCTAGTTCTAGAATATCCTTACCGTTATCTATAGCCTAGCTAAAAAGACGCTTATTAGTATTTCTAAGATAAAGTAGGTATCTAGTAGAGTTATCTTTCTACCGTTAATTATAAGGATAACTACTATTCCTATTCCTTATACCTTAAAGGCTTAGTCTCCGACCTAGACTTTATTATTAGAACCCTACTTAAAGGTTCCTTCCTAGAATAATCCTAGGTTATTAAAGAGGTTAATATCGGCCCTTAAGTTATATATTAATTTATCGGTAAGTAACGGCGTTCCCTTAATAGCTATATTTACCCTAGATAGAGTAACTATATTAATAGTCTTTCCTAGCCCGTTATTACTAATAATAGTATCTACTAGCTCTCTTCCTTTAGGGTAGGAATTAAGGGTCTAGGCTAGGCATTTTACTTTCTCGTCTAGATAGTCCTTTAGCTATTTTTCGATATTCTATTTAGCTAGATTACTATATTTTTAGCTTAATAAGGGTTTCTTATTATATATTACCTATAGTAAGTAGCAATTTTCCTACTAGCTTATTAAGCTATTAACGTGCTACTTATAGCTAACGTACTTAGCTTAGGTATCTACTTTCCTAGAGATTTAATTAGCGCTTCCCCTTTTTATAAGTAGTTATAACTTCTTCCTATAGGTATATTCTTATTTAAAGTTAGCGATTAGGTTCCTTAGGAGAAGTTAATCTTTACTATATCTTTTATTATAGAGGTCGAGAGCCCTTATTATTATAGACTAATAAAGGTCCTACTCGTTTACTACTATAAGAAAATCCTATCTAATTCTTATATTATTAAGTATATTAACCTTAAGGTCTCGTAAATCTATAATAATTTAGTCGAGCTATTCTACCTACGCTTTTTAGTCTTATATACCTCTTTTATTAATAGAGGTCGTATATCTCTTATAAATTAGCTTTTTCTCCTTTACCTCTAAAGGCAGGGCTTACTTCTTTAATTCCCTAATTTTCTCTCTTAGGCTATTATATATTAAGGTTATCCCCTAAAGCCCTTTACTAATCGTTTTCTTAATTAATTCTTTAAGTACGATTAGGGCTTTCTACTAGACCTTATAGCGATCGAATTATAGCTAGAACCTTTTCTCGAGGTTACGAAAGGAGTCCTTTATATCTTAGTATCGTTCGTTATATCCTATTCGCCTCGTAAGGAACGTAGCCTCGGTTTTATCTTCTCGTTAGGAAGGTCTCCCTCTAAGGTTAATAATAAATTGCTCTTAGTCCGGCTATTAGGGCTATTTAAGCTCCTTTATGCCGTCTAGGTTAGTATATTCCTAAATCTTATAAGTCTAGGCCTACGATTTAATCCCCTTAATCTATAGGGTCTAATCGAGGCTTTCCTTTAGTCTTATAATATAATTATCCCCTCTTACTTCCTTTAACGTTATCTTAGGAAAATTAAGGGTTCTAGCTTAATAAATAATATCCTTCTTTAAGGGATACGTAATTCGTATATTTCTAGTATTACCCCTTAGTATAGCTAGGTTCCTTGCCTTAATACTACGATTTAAGCGTTATAATAGCGTTAATAGCTCGTAAATAGCTTTAAAGGTAATATCGGCGGGCAAAAGATAATCTAGCCGTATAGGCCGGGCTTATAACTCTTAAGCAGGGGCTTAAGAGCATAGTAAAAGAAATAGGGGCATAGAAAGGTAAATTTAGTAATTTATATCCTAGTCTATCTATTAGGATAAGGGAGGGGCTTATATAGGTATAGTGACCACATATAGCTAGCTAAAAGAGGCATTGAGATATTCCTATACCTAAGTCAGGCCTGCATAATGTCCTTGGGCTAGGGGAGTCATGTTGGTCAGGCAGGCTTCCTTGTGCATGACTATTGGGTCCATTGGGCATGACTGTGGCCTCTTATGCCCACTCTCCTCAACAGTAGTATAAGTAGAGTTAGACTCGGAATCTTCGCCTCAACCTGTTCTGCTATATACTTACTGACTGATAATTCTCGCAAGATGATATGATTATATTTGGACAGGCCAGCAAGGCATCCTTTAAGTAGAAGTGCATTCTCTCATTGAAGAAAGCTTAAGCGAATTTCGCGACCATAACTGACGTCTAACTCCGGACGTCTGGCCAACTGTCGAACATTGGCGCGTTTAAATCAAGGATCAGCTGCATTAGCGACACATAATCATACTGCCCACTTCTATAAAAACTTGGGCATCTCTGTGAAGTCTGTTAAACTCGTTCAGGAGAGAACGCTTAGCAAGGATGCTGCAGTCAGGGAATCACAGGCCCATAACGGAATTTATATTGTGATGACGTGTCTACGTCCTTACGAGTGCCGAGGAGTTAAACCTATACCTGGGGGCATATCCCTGCTGTCCATTTCTACTAGAAATGGTCATTTCACTCCACTCACTCATCCTTAATAGCAAGTCGAAAAAGGTGGCATAGCGGCTATCTTGGCACTACTTCGCCATTTCACTCAGACTCAGCGTCTATGTCGAGTTTGCCAGATCTATGTGGCTCCTTTGCCAACACAACTTAACCAAACTCATTTGAAGTGAGCTTCCCGGCCTATTCCAATGCCCGCATACCCCAGAGGACGTCAATGGACACCCCGGTTGGCATCCAAATCACCTTATATTCGATGGATCCATTCGATGCGTCTAATACCTCTCCCAAAGGTTAGCACTTGTGTTTCTGACTGCTGGTAGTCAAAACGCGTTTCTTCTGCGCACAATATGTAGCAATGACAGCAGCACAAACGTCCTCTTCTCTTGGCTCCGGCGTGGCCGATGAGAACACGAGTGAACCCGTTGAACCCGTCACACGCTGCGTTTTCTCTTGCACCATCTGCGGATGTCTCATTTTTGATTACGAGAATTTAGACTCTCCGACTGGGTTGAATCAGTCTCGCATTCGTGAGGGTTTCGTCGTGACTGCTGTTGGACGGACGGGAGCTAATCGCACATGAACAGTCTTGTCGGGCCGCAAGGGCATCGCAGTTACGGGAGTCGGCTTTTACAATGACGCCGACGCCGGCGATTTTATAGCCCCTCCCATCTTCACCTCCCGCTGGAATGACAAGTGATACACGTCTCCAAGTCGTGACAGCATCTGTGTGGTCTGTCAGCCTGCGTTCCGCGGTCAACACGACTTTCCCATTCATGAAGCCTGCTGGTCGCTTCTGGAGATTGCCTATGCTCCTCGGCCTGCCCCCACCAGGCACTCTTTGATCTTTGCAAGTCGCCACCCTTTCTATCTGAAGGGACCGGGCTTAACTGGGGTCTCGATTACGACGGCCTGCTCTCTGTCAACAACCAAGGCATCGGCGATACCCTTGGGAGAACCGCATTGCCGACCCAGACGCCTTCTCGGATCCTGTCAAACTTGCTTACCATGTCCCAGTCATCCGTCAGCTCCCCTCTGAACCAACAGGTCCAGGGAATACTGTCATGGCATGGATCGAGCCATCTGACCACTCACCTTCCAGCCCTGACACAGCCAGGTTGAGGTGGCCAGAGACAACGGGCGATTTGCGGCCAGAAATCCGCATCGGGCCGTACACTGGCTTTGAGTGCCTGATTGCGCACTGATTTCGGCCATGATGCTGATTGTGGAAGCATTGCAGCATCGTAATCGGTTGACGGCGCCGGGGGCAATCTCGGAGACGATTGAAGCATGACATGTCCATGTTGGCGCGGTTTGTCCCACTGCCATGATCGTCCAAGGGCGGAAATATAAGAAGCCAGATCGCCGGACGGCTGGTTGGGTTCTTCAGCCGTCGACGCATCGTGGCGCCAGTTCAAAGACCGACCCAGCCAGTCCCGCCAGGACCCCCGAGCAGGGACGGACGGACGGCTGCGCGGCGAGGGCCGAGGGGTCAGAAGGTTCGAGGGGTGGGTGCGGGTGCGGGTGCTCTGTGCATTGGCACTGGCTGTCGCTGTGACTGGAATCGAATGTCGGTGGCCTGAGGGTGAAGAGGGTGAAGGGGGCAGCCAATGCAAAGACAGCGCATCGTCCGATGGGGGCTTGATTCTGCAGTGGCTCCAATAGCGGCCTACAGCGGGCCGGCTGTTTTAGCTCGGCCGCTGAAAATGCTCTGCAAGACCCCGAGAATCAGCTGGTCAGTCCGGGGCTACGAACCCTGACGGTACGCCCCTGAGCCCCCCTGTCGTGTTAGTGTTTTAGGGGGCGCCTGCAAACCTTCAGGTCCCTGTCCAGTGCGTTTTGAGTATCACATAAGCATCAGGCGTCGTCGGCTGATCGCCATCAGACAGCGTGGCTTCTTCTTTGTCCTCGTCTCGACCTCTCGCTCCTCGTCCCTTCATTGACATACCTAGCCAGCCAGCTAGCTGCTCCTCCAGAGCCCACCACCACATACTCTGTGCCGGCAGCTCAAGGGCTTTTTTTGCGTTCCGTCGATAATCTCGAGACGTCTTCTCCGCGACCCAGCACCTCCCACGGCATTGAACTCGTCTCCCCGTCACCATGAAGTCGGCCAGCAGGCTGTTCTATCTCTCCGTCTTTGCTCTCTGGGCAGCGCCCTCGGGCTGCTCCACGCCCCAGGCCGACTGCGCGGTACGATGCGCTTTGCCCCTGAAACCCCTCCTTGCCCTCGGCTGACGCAGCTCCAGATCTCCCCCAAATCCATTGTCAACGACGCCTGCGCCTCGTATGCCACGCTCGAAAAGCTCAATGGCCAGGTCAAGCCCGCCCTCGACAACCTCGTCTCCTCGACCGACTTCTTCTCCCACTACCGCCTCAACCTCTTCCACAAGCGATGTCCCTTCTGGAACGACGAGAACGGCATGTGCGGCAACATAGGATGCGCCGTGGAGACGCTCGACAACGAAGAGGACATCCCCGAGGTCTGGCGCGCCAGCGAGCTTAGCAAGCTCGAGGGGCCTCGCGCCCGCCACCCCGGCAAGAAGGAACGGCGGCAACACCCGGACCGCCCGCTCAAGGGCGAGCTCGGCGAAGGGGTGGGCGAGAGCTGCGTCGTCGAGTACGACGATGAATGCGACGATCGCGACTACTGCGTGCCCGAGGACGAGAGCGCCGCCTCAAAGGGCGACTACGTCAGCCTCTTGCGCAACCCCGAGCGCTTCACCGGCTACGGCGGCGAGAGCTCCAAGCAGATCTGGGACGCCATCTACCGCGAAAACTGCTTCCAGCGCAACTCGTTCCCGCACTCGGCCAACCTCGGAATCTCCCCACGGGCCCCCGGCCCCGCTGCCCAGGACTTCAAGCATGTCCTGGACGCCGCCGGTCGACAGGCACAGCTCGAGGCCAAGCGCCTGCAGCGCCCCAACGTGCCCTTTGTCGCGCACACAGGCTACGAGGTCGAGGACGAGTGCCTCGAGAAGCGCGTCTTCTACAGGGTCGTGTCGGGCATGCACGCCAGCATTAGCGCCCACCTGTGCTGGAGCTTCCTCGACCAGATGACGGGCGAGTGGCAGCCCAACCTCTCGTGCTACCTCGAACGGCTGCACGGCCACCCGGAGCGCATCAGCAACCTCTACTTCAACTACGCCCTCGTTACCCGGGCCGTGGTCAAGCTCGGGCCCCACATCCGCAGGCCGCAGTACACCTTCTGCACGGGCGACCCGTCCGAGGACGAGGCCACGCGGGCCAAGGTGCTCGAGGTGACGCAGCAGGCCGGCGGCGTGCCGCAAATCTTTGACGAGAGCCTCATGTTTGTCAACGGCGAGGGCCCATCTCTCAAGGAGGACTTTCGCAACCGCTTCCGCAACGTCAGCCGCCTCATGGACTGCGTCGGCTGCGACAAGTGCCGCCTCTGGGGCAAGATCCAGACCAACGGCTACGGCACGGCCCTCAAGGTCCTGTTTGAGTTTGAGAACAACAGCGGCGAGATCCCCGTCCTCAAGCGCACCGAGCTCGTCGCCCTCTTCAACACGTATGCCCGCCTCAGCGAGTCGCTCAGGGCGGTTGGCAAGTTTAGACAGATGGTGGCGGAGCGAGATGGGGGAGTCTCGCCGGCCGTTGCTACGTCGCCCGGCCCTGACACGGTCGCGAAACCAGACAAGGCAGCCCACAGCGTCAAGTCTGAGAGGGAAGAGAAGCCCGCGAGGGAAGAGAGGGAAGGGAAGGGAAAATCCGAATACCTGGAGGACGAGGAGGACGAGGCGGTGCGCGAGTTTATTGCGCTGCGGCTGCGGGGTCCCAAGAGCGACTCGTTTGGCGACCGGGTCGTGCACGAGATTGAGCGGCTCCGCGTGGCCGTCAAGATCGTCGTCAACGGCTGGCTGCGGGCACCCAAGACCTTGTAAGTGCTCTGCTCTTTCGCGCCATGTGACTCGGTGACCAAAGGTGATGGCACTGTGCTAACCTGTCCACAGCTGGCACATCATCTCGACAGAGACGGTGCGCCTGTGGCAATTTTGGGTCGGCCTGCCCGTGAGCCCGCGGCAGTGGAAGATTGAGTTTCCAGACGTAAACCGGGATGAGCTGTGAAAGGAGACGGTAGGTTGGAAGCAGGGCGTATGCATCTCACCGGAGTTGGCTGTTTTTCTCTCGCATTCTTGTATCCTATCCTCGATGGACTTTGCATATAGGTGGGAGGATACCTGGATGATGGTTATTTCTTCGCTTCGGACACGACTTGGTGTTGTGCGTGGGTCCCCCAGGGGTCAATGTGACGCCGTCTTTGCTCGTCTTTGTCGGGACCGAGGAGGGCGGCTGTGCTCCTCCGATGTGTGTCGCATCCCTGGGTCATGGTTTCTATTTTGCTTCCAAGGTATGTTGTCTGGGGCTGGCTGACCGACTACCGAACTTGTCTCACGGCAGAGCGGGAACGACGACAGGCCTGGTTCGTCACTTGCTCGGCGTCGGTTCGCTCCTCTTCCTGTGGCAGGCCATTGTGTTGAGCCCCGTCCACTCATGTCCACGCCCCTTTCTGACGCCGCACCGCTTTCTGTTTTGTCCCGTCATGGATGACCTCGTGCTGTCCACGTGTAGCCGCCCGCATCGTCCCTGAGCAGGTCACATCTGGATCGTGCACTGATTCAAGGATATCCTGTCCTGCAGTCTGTCTTCTGAACCCGCTTTGTTTAGCCAAGGCCACAATGGCGAAGCCGTGGCACTGATCGTGATTCAAGGACTGGCCAGCAAGTGGCCCTCGCTCCCGCCATTGTCCTCGTCGTGCTCTCGTCCTTTGGAACTGCGCTGGAACTCGGACAGGCTGGGTAGCTCGGAGCAACGCCCTGGTCTAGACGACGTGATTCTGTTGACCGACGGCGGGTATAAAGAGCCAGCTCCCTCCCGCCAGACTTGCCGATTTTTTTTTGCTCCTTACCTTCTTCACATCAAGGTCCAGTCGGGAGGAGAGGGGATATGGGACCGGCCAAACATATCAAAAGGTCGGTTTCCTTTACTGGCGACAGAGGCTGCATTGGGTTTCCGGTATGCGAATCCCATCGCCACGCCCTGTTGTCGCCGCCCTTCCCAATCCCGGCTGTCTTCGCCAGCCCGCATCTACGGGCTCCCCACCGCCGCTTTCGGGAACACCATCGACGCCCGAAGGAGCGGGTGGGAGGTTTCGGGCGTGTCTCCCCCCAATCTTGAGCGAGTTTCGTCGGCTGCCTCGACAACGGATGAAGGCAAACTCGCGACGACACGCCCTCGCTCTATTCAGAGAGGGCACTGGGGCTTGACCGGTCCCGATCCTGCTGCTGATATACAGCTCAGCGATACAGACCCTACAGCTATGAATGGCCGCGCCGACGTCCAAGGATATCAAACTTGCCAGCCCCGACGCCACACACATACACGCACGGCGGCGCCTCGGTGTCGACAAGGCCTCAAGCGACTGCAACGGAGCATTTATACGGACCTCCGCGCCGCGCCCTCACTCGAGGAACGTCTCAAGGGGCTTGTTTCCTTGGAGCTGATGCGGAACTGGCCACTCGATATTGGTCCTGGCATCGTCAAGGGTGAGGAAGTCGAGGAGAAGACGAACCACCCCGGCCGTGGGAAGGGATGCCGACAAGGGAGAGAGGGGCGTAACAGCAGCAGCATCCGCCGCCGCCTGTTGACTTCCTCGTCTCGCACCGTCGTTCGTCTTCCCGGTTGTGCCGGATGATGGAAGGGGGCAGGGTGCGGAGGCGACGACGGTCGCCACCAATGACTCATGGTCGAGACGACGCTCCTGTCTGAGGCCACGGGAACGAGCTATCCTATAGACGACACCGATATGTCGGAGGTGATGACGGTCGCTAAACGCGACTCATAATCGAGATGGCGCACTTATCGGAGGTGATGACGGTCACGATATAGGACTTACGGTCGAGACGGCGCTCCTGTCTAAGGCCACGGGAACGAGCTATCCTATAGACGACACCGATATGTCGGAGGTGATGACGGTCGCCAAACGCGACTCATAATCGAGATGGCGCACTTATCGGAGGTGATGACGGTCGCGATATACGACTTACGGTCGAGACGGCGCTCCTATCTAAGGCCACGGGAACGAGCTATCCTATAGACGACACCGATATATCGGAGGTGATAACGGTCGCTAAACGCGACTTATAATCGAGATAGCGCACTTATCGGAGGTGATGACGGTTACGATATAGGACTTACGGTCGAGACGGCGCTCCTATCTAAGGCCACGGGAACGAGCTATCCTATAGACGACACCGATATATCGGAGGTGATGACGGTCGCCAAACGCGACTTATAATCGAGATGGCGCACTTATCGGAGGTGATGACGGTCGCGACATACGACTTACGGTCGAGACGGCGCTCCTGTCTGAGGCCACGGGAACGAGCTATCCTATAGACGACACCGATATGTCGGAGGTGATGACAGTCGCCAAACGCGACTTATAATCGAGATGGCGCACTTGTCGGAGGTGATGACGGTCGCGACATACGACTTACGGTCGAGGCGGCGCACTTTTCGGAGGCCCCAAAAGGATGAAGTAGACGAAGCCGATGTGGAAATGTCGGCAAGTCTTGTTGTCCGATGGACGCGAGAACCTGCCGCCGCACTCGGCCTGGAACTCAGGCAAGACAGCCAGCACCTGGGCCGCCACCATCTTGACAATCTTGACAATCTAATTGAATCACCGCCTCGTGCGCTGCAAAAACCGCAGTGAATATTTCATGGGTTTCATTCACAAGCCACCAACCATATGGCGCGCTGCAAACACTGCAACAAAAACTTTGGGAGTTATGGTTAACGCAGCAAAAGCCATGGCTGCTCCGGCTTGGGACCCTAGATACCCAAACACGCACCAGAAAGGGCAGCTTGGTCGGTGCGGAATACAGCATCCTCGCCACCAGCAGATTCTTCTTCAAAATAACATGGGCACTAAATACTCGGGATCCATCTCGATACACAAGTCGAACAAAATTCAAAATCTGCCGGTTCGCGGCATTCAAGAAGCACCTCGCCGTCGGTTGCTCCTGGTCGCGAAACCGTCTTTGTGATCTTGGCGTGGCAGAAGCCAATGCCAAGATCGCATCGCCGCTTCGAAAGCACAATTAACAGACGTACAACAAAAGTACCATTTCCTCCGGGATAACTCAGTCAGGTTAGAGAGACACGGCCTCATGGTTCTGCGAGTTATCAAGGTCAGGGCCAACTGCAAGCGAATTGGTCTATAGGAAACAAACACAAGAGGTTGTTGTCTATTTAAGATGGAAATTATACTCAAAAGCATCAATAAACGGCCAAACCGCGTATAATTATTGAAGGTTCTAAATATATGCGCACTTCGTACGGATACTGCTCTACAAGGGGCCGGGAAGCAAAAGTGATAGTGTCTATGTCATGTCGACAAAAAGAATGATACCTGAGGGATTCGAACCCTCGCCTATTACTAGACCGCGAAAGATGCGAAGTGGGTGTTACCCACTCCTGCCACCTGAACACGGCGCCTTAGACCACTCGGCCAAAGTACCATTTCATCTTGTATGTATAGGCTCTAAATAAATGGTACTATATACTCTTCCGCTATTTCGCTTCCTCGCTAGTATAGGCCCCGATATTAGTCGCATTCTCAACGGTGTTAGTTAATATTTGCCAAGTCCAGTATTTACATGACGACTACTCCGGAGCATGTTCAGAGTACAAATTCCATGGTCCTACCTTTCCCGGTGCCTCTTTCCACGCATCGCCGAGGCCTTGTGGACGCTCGTCACCCGGCTCGACATGTCTCTGTGTCATTCCCACCTCGATAGCACGAACAAGGCAGCCGGCGACAAGACATACCAACCGAATGCCGCTTAGTCAGTAACTTGATCACATGACCTCTTACGCAGTGCGGATCTGACTTGATCCTTGCTCCCGCCGGGCCTGACAGTTTCCGCGGCCGATTTGGTGGGGCCCCCGCCCACTTCTACCGGTCTGCTCTGTACGTACCTACAGAACGGTAGACCAACCCTTCGTCATCTACCCATGTCTTCATCCGACCGAGGCAGCTGTTGCAACTCGTGCGCAACCTCTGCGACTATTAACAGGACCGCCCGGCCGGCGAGTTGGCCGCCGTACCCAAATTTTCCGAGGTCAGGCCCGCCCTTACCGCGCCAGCTGATGATGGTATGCCCATGGACGAGTGAAGAAAACGAATCTGCTTGGCCGAGACGATCGAAGCGTTTTAGACGAGGAACATGCACTCCAACTGGCGCTCAACGCCCTCTTGTTTCCGCCTGTACGTGAACCTGTGCCCTAGGGACATATAATCGCTAACGGTAGCGTAGATTTCTTCGCACCTGGTCACGCGGGCTCAGCCAAGCAGCCTTCTGCCACCACCACCCAGTGTACACGCAAGCGAGGCCGCGACTCCCGACAGTCTGGCTGGATGGATGATGGTGGCGACGGTGAAGATGACAACCATTCTCCATCGGGGGATCGCCTGATCAGTCGCAGCCGGAAGGAAGCTAAGAGGTGCCGACAACGCGATGGTGAACGATGCATCATCACTCGGATATTCGGACAAGGCGTGGAACATCACTTCACAAGTGGTGGTCAAATCCCTACTTTAGGCTCAAGTATTCCCGTTGCGCGGCGGCAGACTTCTTCCCGCCCAATCGGGGGACCGTCTGTTCGGGCCATACGTTGTAGGTCCACATGGAGGAGAGCGAATGGCTGGAAAGCACCATACCGTGAGGATTGAAAAAGGGAGATGCTGTAGGGTAGCTGTCGGCAAGAGGAGGATATATTCCGCACCAATGAATGCATCGGTTGGAGCGTTCCACTTTTGCCTCGTCAAGCGGATGATTCCCGACATCGGTAATTACCGTCTTGGCGGTTTAGGGCAGTGGGGGCCCCCACCAAACAATCCGCCGCCAGATGTGCCGACCAACGTGTAGGGATAACCTGTGGGCTCAACACTAAAGGGTGCGCCGCCTAAAGGTGGGAGGATTATAGTGACTGAGGCGGCTAAAGGCGCCAAGGCCTGCAGTCAATATGTAAGACCTACAAGAATTACGGAGTACGTTTTCGTATCCGTACATGTATTACTTGGCCATGGCTAACAAGCGCACTGCTTACGCTAACAGGCTCACAAAAGTGGAGAGATGTGGCTGTAAATACAGTACTGTGCTGTACCTACTACGTATCTAGATAATCCTGATGACCTTCCCTTTAGGCGTGTGCGCCACAGCTCTCCACCCTTTGTGCGCCTGTTAGCGTAAGCAGTGCGCTTGTTAACCAAGGCCCATGAGTTCTTGTCAGACTAAGAAACTAACCCCTGAATGATTTTCCTAGCAGCAAGACGTATAAAGGGCATGGCTTATATATAGGGACATTTTAATAATGCCTCGTTTTAGCTGGGTAGTAATAACCCAAGCCTATATTAGCCCCTCGCATGTCTTACAAGATAGGCCAAGACATGCATTTGCTGTTTTCACCTATGTATGGCCCCTTTCCTCTGTTGAGAGTTCCTAATATCTATTTCCGACCAATTTTATAAGGAAATCTAGTAGTCTAGGCATATTATATCTTATAGTACCATCCAAGCAACATTAAGCCATCAAGAAAAGCAGACAGAGTCAAGCAAGGGGTCCGGTTAAACTGGCCAGGTCGAGGGGTCCAATTTTGCCTCACTTGGCTGATGGACACACTGTCCCACAGCGTCCATATTGTCGTCCCTGGTATTGAACGGGAAAAGGACTACCCGGCTGACATCCAAGCTGGCGATGCTAAACTGTAGGCATGAATCGCACTCGCAAGCTCGATGGCCGGCCGCAGACTCGTGACGGCAGTGACGCTTCTGCGCTTGAGCTCGCTCGTGTGAGGACAAAGGCATCCGAGGTAGGTCGTAGAGAGCCGTCGATATAGACGGCATGTTAATGGCACTAACCCTATAATGTCACCAGATTCGACTTGAAGGCCGCGCCAACCAGACCATGCCTATTTCTAAGCGCCTTAAATCATCCATAGAAAGAGAGATGCGTAAAAACTCACCACTTCTGGGCAGACTTGGCAGCGGGACACTCCGAAAATTGGATGCTCTTCGATAGCCGAAATTGACGACATGCTAAAAATGAGCAATATGAGTGGCCAAGACGAGAGAATAAGATCGCCGCCAGGTGATCTTGTCCCTCAATACCCTAATTCAGACGCTGGGTTATGCGTGCCAAGTTCGTCCGGATTTCGCCAATTTTTCGGCAGGACCTATATATAGTTCAACAAAATGGTCCGTTGGTGGCTTGCGGTGTACAAAGGTTGACGTATGGTTGGCGATGTGCTGTTGCAGCTACGGCAGTGCTCCACATTCCCTTGAAAGTTTCATTGTGAATGTTGGCAGCGTGGTCCAGAGCAGTCCATAGGCCCAGGACGAAGGGTTGGCAAAGTTTGACAATGCTACTGCCAAGGGTTGCGTCACGGCAGCGATGCCGTTGTGTGGAGCCGATATGATATCTACAACAATGATGGTCACGATGATTCCCGTCTCGGTGACGAGAAGAAGTGTATTCTTCCTTCATGATCTGTACGACATGTGGTTCCCTAGAGTCTGGGCTGGACAGGACGACGCTACAATCCTTTTGCTTTGCGTCTTGTTCATCGACACGACTCTCCTCACGCTCGGCGCTCTGTGTAGAGAGCGATCGAATCGATGGAAAAGTCGGTCTCCGGCCTGTAACCTCTCTAGTCTACAGTCTTCATCGTCATCTTCTGGTAGTTGAGCTTCACGTTCTTCTCCACCACAACCCCCATCTGCGGGAAGTTTAGTTTCCGTAGTGCCAGGATTTTGTAAAGTAGAGCGAGACCTAGAAGACGATACTATGGCCCTCAAGGCTTATACAGCTGACTCCTGTACAGTACTGTGGACAAGGCGAGCCGTGTTGAGCTCTCCCCCCGTCACGATATAACATAGCCTGAATGCCAAATCGACAGAAAGCGAAGACGAGAGCGGGGCCCAAGGCGAAGCTCGCAAGAGCAGCAGCCAGAGTAGGGGCAGAGGGCGGGTAAAGCCGTCGAGCATACAGTTAAGTCAATGCATCCGGCCCAATGCGATAATTGAGGCGAGTTATGCTCTAATGCATAGATGATCCTTTATATGATCCTGAGTCTATTCTGTTGAAGACGAAGTCTTAGGTAAAGAATACGGCTCGGCGTGCGCGCCGAGCTAAGAGGAATTCGAGTAATTCTACTAATAGGCCGGCCCTTGAAGGCCAGGAACCGCAAGGCCGCTGTCGATACTCCGCGGGACGACAACCGGCTCGCCTGGTGGTCGGTCCGAAACTTATATCACCATTCTTACGCATCTTTACTGGACGTAGGAGGCCCTCACGATGAATGCCCGAGGATAACGTTCGAGAGCAGTCGTATTAGCAGACCATCCCTAGAATGCCTGACCTTGGTCTAAGCAAGGGTCTAATAAATATGCATACCGTCAAGCCGGCAAATATACCGCTACATCCGGAAAGGCAGGGTCCCGATAGAGGTGTTAATGCGTATTACAAGCCTCTCCTTGTCCTGACACATGCATACATTCCCCGCATAACTCAACTCTTTTGAAAAGCCTTGGCTTGCTCAACCACGGAAAGCTAAGCTTCTTTAGGGAGTATTAGAGCCATCGGCGAATCCAACTGTTTATTCCGTCTTGGCCACTAAAAAGCCTCAATGCTCGTACGCCTCTGGGTAATCTCACGTATCGAATCCTCCTCTTATAGAGTGCCCGGCTGAGTTTCGTAGGCCAATAGGCAATGCTACCTTTCCCTCGTCAATATGACCTCCAGTATGCCTATGGCCGGCCGGGGTATCTTGACGAGTCAGCCGGGCTTGGGAATCATCCATACTCGGAAGCGGTGCGAGTGCTGGTTTATGCAGCATCGTCTGTTCTTGGCCCGCCTCCACTCCAGCGGATTTCGCAGGCTTACAGGAAGAAGGCATCGAAACTTCCAGTTCTCTATATATACCCGCGTCTTCATCTTCATGGTCCAGACGCTCCCTCATCAGTCTCATCTGCCTGGCACTTCTTTCGACGCCAACCTCCCTCTATAAATAAGAGTCTTGCCTCCTGGCGACGAGTTGGCCAATTCTTACCACGAGTCTTCACCACCGTCCTCTGCCGACCGACGTCCTTTATAAGCAACAATATGGTTTTCACTACCCAGTTCCTCACGGCGGCGCTAGCCTTGCTGGCTTCGGGTGTCCGTGGCGAAGTCGGATGCATTGCTGGCATAGACCAGTCCTATTACATCTCCCCGTCTGGAGAATGTTGTACCACTGACTACGCTGTGGCCGGGATCGACGGTGCAGGTCAGGCATCTAACATCCAATGCGGTGACAAGCTTGGTACTCCTGGATATTTCGAGGGCGTGCCAATGTGCAACGGAGTTTCTGCCTTCGAATTCCAATGCTCTAATGGGATTCATGCCAGTCTAGAAGCTTTCCCTCAGTCGGGCAGATGCGGTGCTGAAATGGAGGCGCCAGCTTCGGGTGACCGTCCCAACGACGAGGTCGGATGCTACAGTGGCCGGGTCTACGTCAACGCTGGGGGATGCTGCAGCACCGACTACGCTGTGGCCGAGCGCGACGATCAAGGCCGCGTACTGAAGGCTTCATGCGGCAACACGGCCAGCATTCTGGCCCCCGACAACCTAGAGCCTGAACATCTCAAGGGCGTGCCGAAATGCAACGGAGCCGTCGACAAAAGCTGGTGCCCTGGTGGGATGCATGCCACTGAGAATGCTCTGATGAGATCGGACGTGTGCAGCGGCACAGGATGCTGTCCCCGATTCAGGGAGGCCCGCGATCACGACGGCGTTTGCCGGTGGAACCCTCTCAACTTCAGTAACAAGAAGACGTCTAAAGCGTTCTGGGAGGCACGGGACCGTGACGGTTGCACGCGGGAAGGGGAACTCGGCGCCTGCTGTCCCGACCCAAAGCACTTTAGGAACGCCAAAGGAGTGTGCAGCACGAGGAACTCCCGTGGAAGAGAGGTGGAAGAGCGGTTGGTTGCCCAGTGGCGCCGCTCGGATGGGTGCGATGATGAGTAGTTGGCTGGTATACACCGGCGAGACTCCTAAAAGCCAAGATTATTACTATTTATATAGATAGGAGTCTCTATCCGCACCAAGCCTCTACTGCTTGTTTTGCACGCGCCCCCGCCCGCTGACCAGTAGGATTCGTGATTGTCCTTGGCAGATAATATCGAGTTCGACAACTGCACCCGTAGTTGTGGTCCGGGGAGGCCGACTGTGAAGGAGGGGATGAATGACGGACTTGTCGAAGATTCTGCTACAGAAAGGGGTGGAAGGCTAGGTTACTTCATCTCTTTCCGAGCCTACCGGTCTATCTCCTTTTCTCCCTTTCCAGCCGCTTTCTCTCTATTCCCGCCTCCGGTTGCCTTGGACTCTTCCTTCGTATTATCCGTAAGTTAATACCCGTCCGTTTATTGGCGTCTGCGATGCTGACAGGCTACCCTACAGCGCCTGCATATTCTGGCAGACCATCGAAAGCACAACTCTCCCCTGTAAAAATTCTGTCCCCTGGAGGGCTGTTAGCGGCTTGCTAGCTGGGGCCAGATTTGCAGGCGACCCGACCGCGCTTCAGCTGCGGGGTCCATCGTGACCCTAACAACACAGAGGAAGACCTTAGGAGAGTTCATATTCCTCTGCGAAGCCGGTCTCGACAACACGTCCACTCGGACCTCATGGCTCTCTTCGGAACCAAGGAGCTGTGGGTATTGGAAGGTCCGCCCTTCTAAACAACGGTGGCCGGTCGCGGAGGTTTTCTCCCTGAAGGCAAGCTGCGCGACAGCCTCTGATTCCTTCTGAGGTTTTTCCTGCCGCCGCTCCTCGCTATTTCCATCGCTTGGTTACTGGAGCATGGACTGCGACAGCAGCCTTAGCAAAGGGCGAGAGAATTCTGACCGGAAAAACCAAGGGTTGACCATTGTGGCGATTGCCACGCGCCTGGAAGTCCCGCTGACGGGAGACAGGCTTCGACAAGGAGCGCCAAAGAGCCTGAAATGCTGGATGGACATCTGGGAGGACTGGCCGCGGGGGCCCTGGTGGGTGGCCTTTCGGTGGCAGGAATTCTAGATAGTCTAGCTCAGCACGTCCTGTGCCCCGTCTCGGGGACCTGAGCGGCCTAAAGGCCGCTGGACGAAAAATACAACACACACACACAGACCATCGAAAGCAAGCGTCACAGGCAACCGGATCCAGAACCCTGACCGTGAATGACGACGTAGCCATGGCCATGTCGGATGCGTGCGCGGCGGAAGGCCGCCTCGGGAGGGATGATGGACGAGGAGGGTCCTCATCGTTATCACTTATGCTGTCATGCGGATACTGATTCACGGTAGATTCCGAAGAGAGCCTGGCTTGTACGAGACTGATGGATGCTTCGAGAAGAGAGCACTCGCTGTTCATCATTTGTGCTGTCGTGAGGAGGTAGAGTTCCGGCGGTGTTTGGCTGTGCCTTGTGCGATGATGCATGGACGGACGAGGACAAATAAATGATTCAGAAGAGAGCGCTCGTCCTCTGCCTCCTGTCCTGTCGTCGGGATAATACCGAGTCACTGCAGAGCTTCAACCGTGTTTCAAGGCACCACCATTGTCCGCTGGGAATCTCAACCGTCAGTATATATACCGCACCAGCGTTCTACTTGGAGCGGTTGATGCTTTCGACATGAACCCTTGAGTACCATCGGCATCCGTCCCTCCCGATTCGCCCTGCAAACATTGCCGAGTCCGGTTTTCTCGTGCAACAAGACCGAGAAGGGAAAGAGGAAAGCAACGCAAAGCAAGTGAAGAATGGCAGCTCGCATCGGCGTCTCCGTCATCATCCGCAGCACCAGGGGCGAGTTTCTTGTCGGCCAACGTGTCGGCGGCTATGGAGCAGGTGAGCAAGCACACACGCAGTGCAGAGACAGCGGTTCCTGAAGATCCCTCAGGCTCGTGGCAGCTGCCCGGCGGATACGTGGGCGCGGGCGAGGGCCTGCTCGCCGCTGCCGTCCGAGCGACCAAGGAGGAGACGGGCGTCGACGTGGAAGCTCTCTGGGTCGTCGACACCACCTATGGCCTCTTGACGCAGGAAAGCGAGGAGTACTTGACCTTCTTTGTCTACTGCACCATCCAATACGTCAGGGCTGTGTCCGAGGTGAGCCGGCCACCAGAGCCCCCCCAAGACCGAGTTGCTGACGCCCGCAAAGGCCAACGAGCCCGAAAAGCGCGTCGGGTGGGTTTGGAGGAGCGTCGATGAACTGCAGAGCCTCCCCCTGTTCCTCCCGCTCTCTCGTCTCCTCGAGCACTCGCACAACCTGACCGAGAGCAGGGGCCTCAGCGTCAGGCTCCCTCCAGACAGCGTGGCAGACCGGCCCGTCATCACCATCAAATGGGATCATGCCGCTCGGGGCGGCTGGAAGCTGGATGGTCTGCGTGCCACCTTGACGCTCCCTGCGAGACGCGACGTGACCATTGTTGACGCGGCCGTCGACGCCAACCGCCGCCTCGACGCCGTCGTAGTCGTCCGCGGCTCCGAAGGCCAGGGCAGGCAGAAGATGGCGGTGCCGTTTGCAACCGACCTTGTTTTTTCCAACTTCAAGGACCGCCACGGCCAAGGCTTCTGCGATCAGTATTTGCTCGAGGCCGTCAACACCGACGTCGAGGGAAACTACAAGCTTTGGCTTCGGTACTGAGTAACGGGATTTATGCAGTTATCGCTGTATGCGTATATCGATACCCCAGGCCTCGCCCGAGCTCCCCTCCAACCTCGACGGCGCCTTTCTTCATTAATAGCACTCCATAATAACGAGCCATCTTCACCAATATCGCCTTCTGCTTCTCTTCGTGTAGATTCATACTGCGCAACTCTTGCTCCTTCTCCTCGCCGTCGCTGCCTGTGTCCGACTCTCCTCCCTCCGCCGCCGCTCCATCCGCCACCTCGCGCCATCATCGTCATTCTCTGACATGCCACGACCGACGAGGACACCCTCGCCGAGATAACCACTGTCATCGCCGACATCGGCCCAGCAGCATGCCCGCGTCGCCATGTCCGCCCTCTCCGAGCCCCGCCGACCGCGTCTCCTCCCCCAGAACCGCAAGCTGCGCCATCTCAAGGGCCTCTCCCTGCGCAACCTTTGCTTTGCGCCTGCCAACCGCTGCACCGCCGACGACGCCGCTCTGCCCCCGAGCCCCAGCGCGCTTGGAACACTGCGCAGGTCGGGATCGCTGCAGCCGTCGCGCTCCACCGACAGCCTGCGCCTCGAGAGCTTGCGCTCCGACAAGCGCTGGCGCCCGCCCCAGACCCGCAAGATCAGCTTGAACCTGGCGCATGCGAGCCCGGCCTCGCGCCAGAAGAAGCTCGAGGCCTTGGTCAATGGCTCCCTAGGCCATGTCTTCTTGTCGCTCCACGTCGGCCGCGACCCTGAGCCTGTCTACGTGAGCGAGATGCGTCAGAGGTCGGCTGTACGTGCAATCTCGAGATTGCGCCCTTGTCCCGTCTCTAACCCTTCGAGACAGAACTTCAACTTCCAATTCTTCGACCTTGCCACTCAGGGCCCTCGCGTCTCCAGATCCTGCTCCGTCACAGTCCGCGTCTGGTCAAGGCGCCCCAATCAGAGCGCCTGGGTCTTTGTCCTCGACGAATTTGTCGACCTGCGCCAGCTCAACTTCATCGGCACGCTCCTAGACCGGCGATTCCCGCCCAATGCCCTCATCTTCCACCTCGAGGATGGCCTCTATTCCCTCGACTTTCCTACCAGGGCTGCCGACCCCAAGCAGGCCCCGCCGGCCGCCACCTCGTCGTACAACTCGCTGATGAAGCTGGCCAACCTCGAGAGCTCCATACAAGATGCACTCGAGACGCAAGAAAATTTGATGGCGCAGATAAACTCGATACTCGAGCACTCCCCGCCCAGCGCCACCGAGGCGGCTCAGGAAGAGGTTGCCCGGGCCGAAAAGTACCTTGCGAGGCAACGGCGCGCCAACCGGCTGGCCGAGGAACAGCGGAACGAGCTGCGCGCCTCGCTCAGCAGCCGGCGAGCGGCCATCCTCGCGGGCAGAGAGGCGCAGGCCAAGGTGGAGGCGGACATTGCCAGCAACCGGGAGAAGCTCGAGGCCTCGGCGCAACTGCTCGAGCAGACGGAGCAGCAGATCCACGGGCAGCGCCGGCGCATCTGCTCGGAGCTGTCCGAAATCTTCCCCATCACGCCGGTGCCCGATGCGCCGCCCCTCTCCTTTCGCATCTGCAACCTGCCCCTGCCCAACTCGACCTACGACGCCGCGACGGCCAAGACGATGGACGAGGACGCCCTCTCGGCCGCCCTGGGCCTGGTGACGCTGCTCACGCGCCACCTCCAGCTCTACCTGTCGTCGCCGCTGCCCTACCCGCTCCACGCCTTTGGGTCGCGCTCGCTGGCGCGCGACGACATCTCCCATCTGCCGGACAGGCCGACGCCGCGGCGCGAGTTCCCGCTGTACCTGCCGCGCGGGGGCTCGACGACGGGCCAGTGGCGCTTCGAGTACGGCTGGTTCCTGCTCAACAAAGACATCGAGGCTCTCTGCTCGTCGCAGGGGCTCCGCGTCGTCGACATCCGTCACTCGCTCCCCAACCTCAAGTACCTCCTCTACGTCTGCAGCGCGGGAACCCACGACGTGCCCGAGCGCAAAAAGGGCGGCGTCCGCGGCCTCTGGGCCGGCAAGCTGCGCGGGCGCATGCCCGTCACCCCGCCCGTCGACGCCGAGAGCAGCAGCAGCGCGGCGGGCACCCCCCCGCCTGCTGGGAGCGTGGACGGCGGCGGCGGCGGCGGAGCCTGGAACGGGCTGTCCAAGCAGAGCGGCTGGGGTGACGTGGGCGACGCCGACTTGCCGTTTGGCAGCGGCGAGGCCAAGTTTACCCTGCGGACAAAGGGGCTGCGCGAGAATGTGGCGGGGTAGGGAGAAGGGTGCCCTCTTCTCTCTGTATATATGTGTGTGTGTGGGTGTGTGTTGTACGAGCTGTATACGAGGAGTGGTCTGCGTGGACAATGCGAGCGATGTGAGAGATTTATCTTTTTTTTTGTCCCTGACCCTGTTTCTCCTTTCTTCCTTTACCCCCAACCCCCTTTCGACCGAGATACCCGGCGCAGGACTGGAGCCCAGCAAATAACGTGCCATTGTCCTCCGCAGCTCTCAGCACGAAGTAGCAAGCGCCAGCCCCCTTCGTTGGGCGTTTGTATCGAATACCACGTATCGACTCGACGGCCGCGCACTCGCTGCAGATGCTTTTCCGCGCCCCGTACCTGAAAAGACGCCGTGCTGCCATATGCTACCTCCAAGATGAAAGAAAGTGAAGAAGAGTTTGCGTAAAAAGTAGTGTACTAGGTGTGGTGTAAGAAAGGGGCGGATCGAACTTGGGCGCCCCCGACATGCACCGTGTGGTCGGTCCCTCTTCGTGCCGTAAACGACCGGGCACGACCGGGGCACGTCGAGTAAATTAGACTCCCAACATACCCAGGAAGACATGGGGAGTAGACGGGATCGACAAGGGCAGCGGACGAGCCCGCGCTCAACCCCCCTCGGGCCTCGCAAACTTGACGCTCTTGCGCCTCTCGCGATCGAGCGGCGCGCTGGCGGGCCGGCACGAGGGGCTTGAGCCGAGGATGCCGCCGCCGCTCTCGCTCACACTGCCAGGGCCGCGAGAGAGCAGGGACTCGCGCGCGGCGCCGACGGCCTTGCTCTGGGGCACCACGTCGTGCGCATCGCCGCGGACGCTGGCCGCGCGGGCGTGCGGGCTGGCGCGCCTGCCAGGGCCGTGTACGTGGGCGGCGGCGGCGGCGGATGCGCGCTGCTGGTGCTGATGATGAGGCTGTGGCGGCGGGTGGCGAACGGACAGCGGGGAGAGAGGAGACGGGGGCAGCGGAGCGTGTGACGAAGAAGACGAAGCGGCGGCGGGGCCGGGCGGGTGGAGAGACAGAGGCGCAGGAAGAAGCGTGGGAGGCGGCGGGGGCGGCGTCTGCGCCGAGGCCGACGCAGGGGCGGGAGCGGGAGCGGGCCCGGGCAGCGAGCGGAGCGGGTCGTCGCGGACGCGCGCGGCCTCGAGGGCGGCGCGGGCGTGCTCGTCGGCGCGGGCCGTCATGGTCTCGCCGCGGTACTTGCCCGGCAGGCAGGCGTGGCCGCACCCATCGAGAGGACAGCAGCCGTCGCTGAACTTGGCCGCGGGCGATGAAGAAGCTGCTGCTGCTGCTGCTGCCTTGTCGGGTGACGCCGTGACGGCGGCGTGCCACGTCTGCAGGCACGAGGCGTGGCCGCCGTGGGCGCACCAGGGGCAGCACCACCACTCGGACAGCCACGCGGCGCCGTTGTCGGCGCCATCGGCACCGGCGGCGACAATCTCGTCGGGGACCTGCGCCGGTCGTTCGAGCTCGCGGTGGCCGCACACGGCACACGGCGCCATGACACACCGGCAGCGCTCGCACGTCCACACGGCCTCGGCACCGGCCGCCGGGTTCACCTCGCGTGGCTTGCGGCAGTCGGGACACACGAGACCGACCTTGACGCCTTGCTGCGCCGGTGAAAAGATGGCCGCGTAGGGACCACCGCCGCCGCCGCTGCCGGCGCCCCAGTCGGGCAGCCCCGCGGGCCAGCCGCCGACGCACAGGTTGCGCAGCAGCGCGGCCTCGACAAAAAGGCCCATGCGCGTCAGGCGCGCGTGCTGCTGCTGCACGACGGCGCTGGCCTGGGCCTCGTCGACGGCCGATGGGGGCACCAGCGGCCGAAGCAGGAGCACCATGGCCGAGGCGTTGAGCGCCGACCGCTGCGTCTCAAAGGCCAGCGCCCGCGTCACCAGGGCGATGGGGTCCAGCGGCGGCGGCGGCACCGCTTTGCCCCGGTCCGGCTGCAGTGGGTGCGGGTACGGCGGGTCGTCATCCCAGGGGAGGTAGTCGCTCTCGACGATGTGAGGCCGCGGGTCGTGTCTCGGCAACGTCGACGTCGCCGGCGTTGGCTTGGCGGGCGGCGGACTGGAGACGTGGGTGACTTCCATGCCGGGAACAGCGTTGCCTGCGGTTGGTGACTCCGTGTCGGCAGGGGACGCGTCGGCGTCAGATGAGAGTGGCTGGGAGGGATACGTGTCGGCCGTTGTCTGTGAAATCATAAAGACTTCTTCGGGCGTGTTGGCGCCCGCCGCCTGGTGCCCGCCGTTCCTGCTGGGCGCCGTGTAGGTCCGCGATGCGGTGGGTGCTTCTTGCTCGCCCACGGCCTCGCCGCGGATCCGGCTGTCGTACTCGACGCTGGACGCGGCGCTCGACCTGTCCGTGTCCGATGCCTGCCTTGCCATGATGCTGGGCCGGGCAAAGGCGCCGCCGCTCGACGAGCTCCTCGCCGCGGAGCGTTTGGTGCCGTCCGACACTGAAAACATGTTTCCGAAGCTCTCGCCCGAGTCTTGCCTCGGGTCTTGTCCTCGACGCGTCTGGTCCTGGGACCCCCACTCCATACTCCTCTTCTTCGGCAAGGGGACGTCGATGGCTTTCGCCAGCACATCGGTGTCGTAAAAGTCGTATCCCTCGGTGCTCGACAGCTGGGATGGGTCGCTGCTCTCGTTGCTCGCCCCTGACACGGGGTCCGGGTCGAGACGGTGCCGGGGGCTGATGCCCTCTTCTTGGTATGATCCATGGGCGGCGGGCCCCAGGTGCAGGCTCTCCGGCTCGACAATGGGCGTGAGCCGTCGGCCGTACTGGTACGCGCCGTCATCGTTCCCGCCACTCGTGTCTGGCAGCCCAGCGTCGGCCGGTCTGGCAACGGGGGTCGGCACGTTCGACGTGCTTTCGATTTCCTCGGCCAGCAGCGAGCGGGAAGGCATCCGGCCGTCGACGCTGCCCCGTTGGACCGAGGGCCGGCGGGGGGTGTCTTCGCCGTTGCTGTGGCTGTTTCCGCCGGCCTCAGGAGCCTTGAGCCTTGCGCTACCCTTGGCGTCGTCGGAGTGCATCTTTTGAAACTGTCCCACTCTGAGCTCGAGGTGGTACTGCGCGCGGCGGTTCAGGAGGAGAGCCATAGAATAGGCCAGGATTCTCCACGTCTGCGCGAGTCGGTACTGATTGGCGTTCTCGGCGGCGCGGGCAAACTGCTCCATGATGTCGTCGACGCGCTCGGCGAGCGAGTCGCCTCCTTGCACGTATGGCAGCTCCCTCTCCAGCGTCTCGAGGTAGGTGCTGGAGAGATACTGGTAGACGTGCACCGACTTTGCCGCGGGGATGCGGCCCGAGGCCATGGCCTGCTGGGGCTTGAAGACACCCGTCACGGCGACCGACTGCTCGAGGTTGAGCGTCTGCTTGGGGTCATCTGGGAAGGCCGGCCCAGACGGCGGCGTCGTGCTCAGGGGCGCGCCGGAGCGGCCGCCGGGCCGCCGGTTGCCGACGACGCGACGGCGGGGCCCGAGAAAGGTGCTCATAACCTCCTCCTCCGAGTCGCTGCGGCTGACGCTCAGCATGGGGGCGCCGGGGCTGGAGCCGTAGGTGTGGCGATGGCTGACCTGGGGCTCATGGGTGACCGAGGGCCGTGGGCGGTGGGACTGGGGGCGCTCGTCGAGGAACACGAGAGCCTCGCCGCGGGGAGAAAAGGCCATGGCCGAGGTGGACTGGCGGTCGAGGGCCTTGGGGGCAAAGGCGACGTCGCACTGGTTGAAGAGGCCGTCCTGGCCGACGGTCCACAGCAGGTCCTGGTCCTGCCACAGGAGGGCCGTCGGGGAGCTGTCGAAGCGCTCAATCTCCTTGTAGGGCATGGTGGGGCGGGCCAGGTCCCAGACGTGGACGGCCGAGGTGCCGTAGCGGCGGTTGGTCGTCTCGTCGTAGGCGACGGCGACCTGGGCGACGCGGCGGGTCTGGGTGGTGGCGGACCAGAGGCCCGGACGCCAGGCGATGGCGGAGACGGGGGCCGGGGTGGAGATGGTCCACTTTGGCTTCTGCCTCTTGTCGGCCGTCTTGCCGAGGTCCCAGGTGTGCAGCTTGGTGTCCCAGCCGGCGCTCATGAGGTGGATGCCGTCTGGGTGCCAGGCGATGGCGGAGCAGGCCTTTTCGTGGGCGTTTATGCGGAGGAGCGGGCGGGCGGGATGGCGGACGTCCCACTTGAGGACGACGCCGGCCTCGGTGCAGCAGGCCATCTCGTGGCCGGCGCCGGGAGACCAGGCGACCTGGCGGACGGCGTCGATGCAGCGCAGCGGGGCGAAGCGCTGGCGGAAGGTGAGCAGGCCGGCGCGGCTCTGCAGGGGGGTCGAGGTGTCGAAGACGCGGGCGGTGCCGTCCTGGCTGCCCGACAGCAGCCAGCTCTTGAGATGGGGGTTGACGTCGAGCGAGTTGACCTGGCGCGAGTCCTCGTGCATCTGGACGCACTCGAGGGGCTCCGCGGCGCCGGCGCCGAGGCGGGCCAGGTCGTAGGCAAAGATGTTGCCGCTGGCGCAGGCGGTGAAGATGGTCGAGTGGCCGTGCCACTTGACGTCGCGGATGTTGAGCTGGTCGGCGACGACGCTGGCACGCAGGCCGGCCGACTGGCGCGAGGCGATGGCGGCGCGGACGTCGATGCCGTCGCCGAGGCCGAAGCGGGCGGCGGAGCCCTTTGCGTCGAGGACGACCGTCTTGAGGATGTGCGGGCCGGCCAGGACGGCGGCGCGTCTGTCGGGGGCCACGTCGAAGCACGAGATGGGCACGCCGGCCGGGTAGACGGCGTTTTGCGACTTGGAGGGGCGGTAGGCGGAGCCGGGGCCAGCGGAGGCGCCGGGGACGGGCGTGGTCGAGGCGGCGGCGGCGACGGCGGCGAGGTCGCCGGTCGAGGCATCGGCGGCCGTCTTGCCGAGGAGCTTGCGCATGATCTTGGAGTCGCGGTTATACATGGTGGCGACGGGCCGGCGACACCCGAGGCGCCATGTCCTCGCGGCGCGGCGGCGGCAGCAGGCGGCGACGGATCAGTGGGTGCGCGGGAGGCGCAACGATGGCGACGTGGCTTTGGCCGTGGTGGTGGAGGTGGTGGAGGTGGAGGTGGAGGTGGTGGTGACGGTGGTGGTGACGGTGGTGGTGACGGTGGTGGTGAGGAACGGGGAGCTGATTTGCTATTGTTCTCTCGTCAGCCGCACGCATGGGACGACGCAATTGGCCACTCCAATCCCATACCATGGACCAAGGCGTGGATTGAGGCGGAGGCGCGCGTCGTGAACGAGCAGAGGGAGTCGGGAGGTGAAGCGGTGAAGGCCAAGCAGTGGTGGGCCAGAGTGACGTGGGTGGGGGTGAAGGCGGACTGACCAGTGGAGCGCATGGAAACGCTATACAAATAATAAATCTGGGGCACTTTCTGCCCCCCCCTTCTTTTGCCGCTTCGTCCCAACCCCCTTTCCCAGCAGGACTGCGGCACCTCGTCGGCCATGGTGTTGAATTTGATTATCGGCTGATAGAGCTCCAGGGCCTCGGAAACTGGGCCCCAACGACGTCCAGATTGATTCGAGAGCCCCACGTAGGCCTCGACTTTCGCGCAAGAAGACGACCAAGCAAGCACAGTCGAAACTCGTCGCCATGGTCAACATGTCATGGTGGCAATGGGCGTCGTCCTCACTGGCCTGGCATGCGCCAAGTTCTCAGACGACGTCAGTCTCCACGAGGCTGCAACCCTGCTGTGCGTCTACATGATGTGCCTTCAGGGGCTGCGGAATGCCGGCCGGCTTCAAAAGGGGCAGGCAAGTCGACTCTCCACACTCTTCAAAGGCGTCAAATGCTCACGGGCCTGGTGGGCGAGACGAATGGCCGAGGCGTCGACCTTGTCCTCAACTTGCTTTCCGGCAAGCCCCCTCACACATCCTGGAGTTGCATTGGCGAGTTTGGTAATATGGTCCAAGTCGGCAAGCCCGACCTCGTCGACCCTGCACGGCTAGACATTCCCTTCCATGGCCTCGTTGCTGCTGAATTTGTCCCTGACAGACGGGACGGGCATCGCCATCCACCACACCAAGGTTGCCGCAGACTTGGTCATGAGCTATGCCCTGTGACCGTCCATCTTTCAGGACCACCACGACCCGCCTTGTCTCGCCCGTCATGGAAATGTGCCTCGTCTACCTGCTTATACTGGTTTCTAATCGGGCAGCCATACAGCGAGTTGGAAGCTCATGGACTTGCCCGCCGTCCGCCCCGGCTGGCCTTTGATGAGCATGCAACTCGTGGACATGTGTTGCTTCGAGCTCCGGCTGCCCTGGCAAGTCACAATTCCCCCCTTGATGACCAGAGTCGAGTTGGCCCTGGCCCCTCTTCAGATATAATGTTATTCCCGAGACGAGGGCAGGCAAGTACAACGACACCTCCTAGCACGCCGCCGACAATGGCACTGATATTCATTGCCTTGGACCGCTGTGCGCCTGTCGACGCGTCGTTTGCGTGCCAGAGTGCCCCCATCGCGTCGCTTGCGCCCAGAGCATTGCTGTCGGCAACCTCGACGCTCGACTCGATTGTGCCGTTGCCAGGGAGGGCCTTTGGAATGGGTCTTTCGACGGGGAGCTGGCGGGAGAGGTTGAGCGAGTAAAGCGACGCAGCTGCACGAGGATTGGCCTCCCCCTTTCTCACCCGCATGAACCCTGCAGCGGTCCATCGGGCGGTTTGCCAGACGCTTTGATTCGCCCGGCCATGTTAACCCTGTAATATGCAGCATCACCTATTGTTAGGCACCCATGGACGAAGCTGCAGGCGCATTAACTAGACGGCTAGACCCTTGGGACTTATAGCCTACTGTGTAAGGGGGACATGCCACCAACAGAAGATGATTTTCGAGGTCATTGTCACATGAGTCGGGCTCGTTAATGAGCATGTAGGGTAACTTGTCAAGCTCAGAATAACAACTACATTGGATAAGTGAAGTGGTGGTCGAGAGCCGGGAGAACTTGGCGAAGCCCCGAAGTTTCAGCCATTTCACGGATAAGGAGGACCGTAAACTGCATGGCCAAATGCACGCCGCCGAGAAGCCTCACTTTCTGGCTTGCCGTGGCTGACGACGGGTGGTTTGCCGCGGAATTGGCCCGCGGTACTTTCTCTCTCAGCTCAACCCCAGGCGGCTCAGCTTCAGCTCATGCGTCATGCGGGAGCCCTGCATCTCACGCGACCTCTTCTGCTCACAGACTCACAGAGATGTACAGTATGTATAAGCTCCGCCAGCCATATAGAGCGCTCACCGGAGACGGGGAGAAAGATGCACTCGCACACACATCTGGCTCCACGGTAGCGTGGGCGGGCGGCCTTTCCTCTCCGCCTCCTCCTCCTCCTCCTCCTCCTCCTCCTCTTCTTCTTCCCCCTCCCCCTCTTCCTCCCCCTCTTCCTCCTCCATCATGAACCTCACCATGAGAGACTACCAATACCAACCTCTCCAGCATGGCGAGATCCGCCTCCTCCGCCTCGACCCCGTCACCAGTCCCGGCCAAGCCCTCTCCGGTTCCATCCTCCACCACCGCCTGACCAACCCCACCTACCGCCCAGGCACCGACGGCCAGCCCGCCTACCTGGAGCAGCCGCGGCGCTACGAGGCCATCTCATACCACTGGGGCGCCGACGCGAGCACGCCCCATCGGCTGTGCATCGTCGACGACGACCGCGGACCGTCCGTCATCCGCCTCACCGCCGCCCTGCGCGCCGTCCTCGACCGCCTCGCCCTGCCCGACCGCCACCGCGTCCTGTGGGCCGACGCCATCTGCATCAACCAGGTCACCAGCCGCGACAACGAGGAAAAGGGTGCTCAGATCAAGCTCATGCCCGACATCTACCGCGTCGCCGCCGCCCTCGACCTGCTCACCACCATTGCCGACCACTCCGAGTACCTCGACGACTCGCAGCAGCAGTATCCAGCCGCCCAGGACCCTGCGCTTGTCGAAAGCGAGACCGCCATTGCCCTCGCCCGCCGTCGCCGCGCTGAGCTTGCCCTGCCGCCCCCGACCGACGCCCGCTGGGCCGCCCTGCGAGCCTTTCTGCGCCGCCCCTGGTTCCGCCGCGTCTGGGTCATCCAAGAGTTCGTCTACGCAGCCGACGTCGCTGTCGTCTGCGGCGCCCACGACGTCGACTGGCGCAGGCTGTGCCTCGCCGCCAAGGCCTACTGCGACAACCGCAGCCTCATCTTTGCCGGCTTCAAGCCCGATCCGCTCAGCGGCACCCGGACGCGAGACGAGTTCCGCGAGGCCCACGAGGGTGCCCGCGCCCTTCATGTCATCGCCGACCTGCGCATGCGCGCCTGGGGCTACATGTCGACGCAGTACATGGTGCTTAGCCTCGACCACGACCACGGGCCGGCCTCGTCCCCCTCTGGCCTCTCGGTCCGCAAGAACTTTGACGCCATCAGGAGCTTCGAGGACCTGATGCGCGACAAGCTGCTCATGGACCGCGCATCCGGCGATACGTTTCCCTTTGGCCAGCCAGATCTACTCGAGCTGCTGCACCGCACCAGCAACTTCCTCGCCAGCCAGCCCGTCGACCGACTCTATGCGCTCCTCGGCCTGGCCGACGACACGGGCCACCTCGAGCCCATCTACTCGGACCGGCAGACCTTGCCCGTCGTCACCACCCGTTTCGCCGCGTCATTTATCCGAAAGGGGCGCCTTGCCGACGTCCTGGCCACCGCGGGCATCAGGTCGGAGACGCCCTCGGCCGGTGATCCGCCATCGTGGGTCCCCGACTGGACAAAGGTCGAATACGCGCAGGATCACGCCGTCGGCTTCAACCGCTTCTCCAGCATTCAAAAGGAACCCGCAGACCACTCCGACGCCCGCTCCGCAACGAGGGACGTGCCAGAAGGGAGGGACGCGCCAGAAGGCAGCAAACCCGTCGGCCAAGAGGCAGTCGAGTCCGAGGGTAGCGGGGCTCGCAGGAAGCTGTACAATGCGGCGCTGAATACCGAGCAGGCCTTTACTCTGGACGAGGCCCAAGGCACGCTGACCATTAGAGCCATAGCCGTGGACAAGGTCCTGTTGGTCCTGCCGGGCAGACTGCTCCTCGGCACACCAATGTACGCCGGCATGGCTCAGAGGTTGGGACAAGTTTACTCCACCGGCGAGCCCATTGAAGAGGCCGTTTGGAGGACGCTGATTGCGAACCGCACGTATCACGGCGAGAGACCTCCGCCCGACTTTGAGGTGCAGTATCAAAACCTCAAACGACACGAGATGGCGCTGTTGACGCGGGCCATTATCATTTTGGGCGTAGGCTGTCTTCTTGCGCTGCCTTTCGCGACGCTCGGAATCCGGTACATGCCCGTCATCGTTCAAGTTACCGTCGTAACCGGGTTGATGGCTACTCGCAAGGTCCCGGCTGTACCCGGCGTCGTCTTTCTCGTTCTCCTTCCAGTCTTCCGCTGGCTCTGGGTCATTGTCCTGGTACCGGTCTTGATGGGGCTGACATGGTACTGCGGGGCCAAGGCATACCCGCTGCAATTCCTCGAGGTCCTCAAGGGCATGGGCGTCACCACGGCCGTCACGACTGGCTCGATGCCGGCCGACTGCGCGGGCTACCTGACGAGCTTCAGCGTCATGGGGAACCGTCATGCCCTGTGCTTTACCGAGCATCGCCTCATGGGCTTACTGCCCCTCTTGACCAAGGTGGGCGACATTGTAGCCGTCTTCCACGGCTGCGACGTGCCGTTTGTAGTGCGGCCGACGGAGCGCCAAGGCTACTACCGTTTGGTCGGCGAGTGTTATGTGCACGGTGTTATGAACGGAGACTGCGTGGCCGGACAGCCGAGTGACATTGTCCTGTGCTAGGGTAAGCTCGCCAGGAATAGAACTTGTCAGGAGAGCCGGCATGGTATCCGGACCAGCCCGAGTAGCAAGGCGTCCGTGATGGGATCCGAGAAGGGCACTAGACGGTGATCCTGCATTCGCATGTCTATAGGAGAGCTTTTCGCTGCCACGTTCGCCTCTTGACTATGCAACCACGCCATGGGGCTAGATCGTGCATGCTGGCCTCTATCACACATACTCAAGGCTCTCTAACGGAGGCTGTGATTTATAGCAAGCCTTTCCCCAAGTCTGGGACGCGTTAGCTCTCTGCGTTTCTCGCGCGTCCAGTGCAATGCCTACCTCGATAGCCAAGCTTGCACGCGCCGACGTACAATGGCCGGTAGGGCAGTACATCGGCCGCCTCATCACAGACTCCCAGCTTCTTCGTGCGGATCCATGTTCAATCCGCGCCGTCCTTTGCCTCGGGGCTTCTGCTACGGCTGCGGCCTCGCCTCCCTCCCGCGCCAGCCCGGCCTCCTCGTCCTGCCTTGCCCGGCGGCGGCCTGACGAATGCAAAGTCCACCTGCACCGTCTGCTCGAGCAGCTTCGTGTCGTGGGCGCCGTCGATGGCGGCCCTGGCCTCTTCCAGGGTGGTGTATTCAATCAGCGCGTAGCCCTGCGGGACGATAGCAGTCAGCATCATCCGCGCCGCCCACGTCTCGGCGTGCTTCGGACCTTGACGTAGCCACTTCTGCGGTCGAGGTTCAGGTGCATGTTTTTGATCTCGCCGTATTCGCCGAATTTGTCGTGCAGCGCCTCCTCGTCGGCCTCCTCGTGGACGTTTGTCACGACGATGATCCAGCCTTCGATGGAGCGCACGGCCGTGGCTTTCGTGTGCGTCTGCATCTCGGACTCGTTGCGCGCCGGGGGCGACGCCGGCCGGTCGATGTCCATTTCTGCGTCCGCCATGGCTGCTCTGTGCGTGCGGGGCGCGTGCGAGTCGGAATGTGTAGAGGTCGAAGCAGTCGTGGGTGATCTGGGCCCGCTGTGAAAATAAGCGCCGTTGGGAGCTAGCCAAAGGAAAAGCTTACGGTCACGTGACATGTATGTTTGCCGACATGCATCGTCGATTGAAGCGAGCATCCTGGACAGGATGATGATGCCTGGCCAGTTTGCTTTCGTTTTACGGATGCAGAGGGCATCATCTTCTACTGTGCCGTTGCAACAGGCTGCTTAGCCACCAAGACCGTGGTCTGCACCATCATCCGTTACCACATAGACTCCAGATCACGCAGCAATTTCACGTGGCGACACAACAAGTATGGCCCGTGGATGACTCCTCGTATTGACGAACGACACCGGACGCCGTGTAAAGTCGTTGCGCTTCGTCGCACCTCGTCTCGCAGAGGGTGCTCAGCCTAGCGACCGACCCGACTGAACCCACATTCCGCCACGCGCGCGGATCTGCCCTATCCGTCTTCGTGGTCCATCCCCCTAAGCAATCCTGTCCATTGTTCTTTAAGTGCCGGGGTTGGGGTTCATCTGGTGGCGTCGTCAGCAATCTCCGTCCTGCGCAGTCAGTGTCGCGCGTCAAGCCGCTGCTCACCTTCCGCTTGCCGCCCGTCAGGGTGACGTTGACGAATCGTCGGGTGTATTTGAGGCGCTTGAGAGCGCGGCCCTTGGGGACCTTGGGCTTCTCCTGGGGCTCGACCTGTAGGGGAGGGGCGGATGGTTAGTCGTCGTCATCGGTCGGTGGGCGGGTCGGGGAGTCGTACTTTGGGAGTCTGAGACTTGACCTTGCCTGGGTGTCGGGTCAGTACTCGAGATTTCGACGCGAAATGCTGCGGGAGAGCGTGAGGACGTACCGGCACGGGCAAGAGATCCGTGAACTTTACCCATGATGATGGATTTGGATGTGATGAGGTGGATGGTGGAAACGGCGTGGAGCGCTGGGAATTTTGGGAATTTGGCGAGTGGTTGTGGGCGGGAGGCGCAGCTCACGTGAGGAGAAGGAAAGGGTGCCCTGCCGGATAAACATTGTAGCGATTGGCCGTTGGCCCCGTTTGAGTCGGTTCAAGGCTCCTTTGAGTCAGCTGCAGATTTCCTGGAGATTATCTAAGCAACTTACCTGCCTGGATTCATCAATCGTGGTCCATGTTTCTGTCGTTGCAAGAAGCTAGCTACTCAAGCCCTATGCAATCAAGACATTCACTGTGACTACCACCTGCTCTTCTCTTCCTGCAAACCTGGTCTCGTGCACTGGTCTACTGTACCTTGTTTCTGGTCCTCAGTTCGTTCACCCAAGCTTTACCGCTTGCCGGATGACGTTTCGGGCCTCGTGCAAGAAGCTTTTGAGACGCCGGGTTGGAAACAAAAGACATATCACCGAATACGCATGGAATACCAAGGCGTTTCCAGTCAGAGGCTAGCCCTGCCGATGATCCACGTCGCGCTTTGATGGCTATATTAAGAATACGAGTCTCCAGGCGCAGTGGTGGGATCCCATCCTTGCACCTCGCATCCTCCTGCCCAGGCTTTGTGATGATTCGGGCTTGTTTGTTTGGATGGTGCCAATTTTGTAACGACATCGCTGCACGTAGCCATGGTTATCACTGGCCGAAACGGACGAGAATATGCAACAGCGACTCCTCCAGCCGACCCAGAAAGCCGGCGTGTATTTCTGGCACGGCTTGACCTGGACGAGGATGAGGCGGAAGGACGCATTCCAGGGCGAATTCTGGACACGAGAGGCGAAGTCTGTTGAGTTGGCTTGACGTACTGGGCTCTCGTTGCCACGACAGGATGGCTGGGCCGCGTCACCAGACGAACGCCCATGAACGGATCACGTACTCGGGTGCGTATCATGTGAACTTTGACCAAAAAAAGGGCGATTCCGCATCAAGTCGAACCCACGGGCTACCCTACGGAGAAGCAGCTACGGTTCAAGTCTGCTGCCGTGATTAGCTTCCGGGGTTGGTGCAAGGCGTCAAACTCGCCGTGAGCTGTCATTGGGGAGTCGGTGTGGAGGTGCTGGCGGCTACGATGGCGTCTAAAGTTTTAGCCGACGTTGGAAGCTTCTGTCATTCGCAAATGTCCAGTAGCGACGGTAGATGGAACCTATAAGCCCGGGCAAATGGAGGCGATGGCGGGTGGATAACATTCCGAGGGGCAATGAACACTGTATTTGGGGGAGAGAGAGGATGGACCGGATGAAGCGGAAGGCAAAAATGCTATTTCCATACAAGTAGCAACGGAGACGCAGTGGCGGAGCGGATGGCGCGTGGATGAGTTCAATAAAGAGGAAGCAAGCGACTTGGTTATGCGGGAGTTCGCCACGGCTTCACCTGCGTACGGATTAACAAATCGGGGGCTGCGATGCGGCGGCTTGATTATTCAAGGTACGTACTGGGGAATAACAAGGGCATGGGAGAGACATGAGTAACAGCCCCCGTCGAGATTGCCGAGGACACGTGGACGAATGACGATTGTCACTGGGCCGTGCTCTGCTGTGCCGTCGACGAGGGGAGAAGGGCATTTGGGGCAAAGGAATAATACGGTACACCCTTGGCCGCCTGAAACGACGCACTTCGTATACGATATGCACTCACTGGCGGTTGGCTGCGAGACGGTAGGCGGGCGGTACGGGACAAATGGCGTAGCGGACCTACTCGTGCATCGAAAATGGGCCGATGGCCTGCATTGTGGTGGTGGCAAGAGCTGGACAGCCGTTGCAGGGCCAAAGTACGAGCCTTTGATGCGCACCCGTGGCTTTCCGCAAGCGATTGGAAACATGGTGATTAAGTTGCAAACCATGGAGAGGCTGTTCTGTTCCCAAAGGCAAACCGACGCCTTGCGATTGGCGGGAGGGATGGAATGGGTTCAGAAGCCCTGCCCCCTGCAAGCGCAAGGGCTGTGGGCACGGAGAACTACCTGCAGTACGTAGTAACTATCAACTATCACGATTCCTGCCCCTGTATCCGTGCGTACCTGTACCTCTGTACTACCTACCTGTACGTACTACCTACCTGCACCGGAGGCGCTATAACTGACTTCACTCCAAGCCTGAGAGACGCCCGGCCAAGCAGCCGGATACAGTAGGCATGCCGTCCCTCGGCACGCCATAGATACCTACCTTGGGTACACACACACGCACGCGCACACCAGACGGCACTTCTCTTCCTTTGAACCAGTTTCTTTCTCGTCGTGCCAGAAAAACCCGTGCCGCAGCCGGCCCCCCCCCTTCCCCCCCCTTGGCGGGGATTTGCGGCGCAGCGGAGTGGTTGACGAACGATCCCCCCCGCCTCCCCGCCCTGCAGGTTTCCCGGTGATGAAAGGTGGCGGGCAGCCTGGTCTGTACAGGCCCCTGATGTACAGACTTTGTTTTCTTTCTTTTCCTTTCATCATTTTCTCTTTCCTTGTTTCTTTTTCCTTGTTCGTTGTCGGTGGCCGGAAACGTCCGGATGACAGCCGGGCGGGCCCAAGGTGCCGCGTAGAGTAAAAGGCGAGGAGCCGGAAGAGGAAGAGGGCAAAGCGCTAAAGAGCCGGCCTAGGCCCAAGTACAGCACGGAATGCCTGCCGTGTGTTCGGAGGCTTTGCAAAATGCGGACGAGGCGGCAGTGTGGAGAAGCGGGAGTGGTGACTGACTGGCAAACGGTGGGAAGCCGTGTGGGAAGCCTTGTGTCAGGTCTCGCCAGTCGCACACTGGGAACCCCGGGCGAGCAGGATGCTTGTAGGTGAGTCGGGCGATTAACACATGCGCACCCGGCCAAGGCCCGTGTTTTTTTGGTTTAATTATTCTTTTAAATGCTGCCTTGGTCGAGGCACATGCCTGAAGCAGACTTGCCAATCTAGAGACACCACCCCTTTCTTTGTCGTCGTCGACGCTGTCTTGTCTCTCGGCGGCCACAAGCTGCAGGAACAAGACAGTGCCGTGACACCATTGACTCTTGTAGGCCTCGTAGGTGCCCGATTAGGTTTCGGGGTGCTGGGTACGGAGTACCGTTACATGCATCCAGGATGACGGGACGCCAGAAGGAAGATCATGGCCTAGCCTGTAGCGGCAGCCTCTTCATTATTACATGCTCCATGGCCCTGCTCCATGGCCGCGACCCTGCTCCTTTTTCTTCTTCCTCCTCCCTCCCCCCTGCCCTTCTCGTCTTTTTCCGCAGCCTCGTTTGCTTTCTCTCTTCCTCTCTTCCTCTCAACTCCCTCCAACCCAGTGCCCGTCACCCAGCGCCCGTCTCACCCAGCGCCCGTCTCACCCAGCGCTTCCATCCTCGTCCAAAAACAGGAAACAAGGAAAAGACAAATAAAAAACTGCCTGCCCGTTGTCGGTCGTCTCTTTGTCCTCGTCGAGAGCAATACCTCCCCCCCCCGCCGCTGCCACAGGCAGAACCCCTTGCTTTGTTCCCGCGAGCCAGCTTGACCGCTCCAGTTTGTTCGTCCCCAAAGTACACCTTTTATTTTTCACCGGCCCAGACAACCTCTTTTCTATCCTCTTGCTTTCTGCCCTTTTATTTATTAATGCACACGGGCTTGCGCTGCCCGACACCGGCCTCTGTACAACCCCCCCCTTCTCCCCAGCCATGGCCGACGTCGAGAAGCAATCCGGTCGCTCAAACAGCTTCCGCCGCATGCTGGAGCTCGAGAGGGCATACATGGTATGGAAGCTCCCGTTGCTGTCCAACTTTGCTCCTCTGTGGCTGCTCTGTGTGAGGTGGCGTCATGCCTTGCTCACCGGGCCGTTGTCTCCCCTCGCGTCCCTGGACTTCTTGCACTAACCCCGGCCTTGCTTGCTACACCGTTTTAGATTGAGCGACTCCAAGCCAGCAGACCCCCCCGTCAATCTACATCAGCTGCCCACAAGCCTGAGGGCGCCAGCCTCCAGACGCGCCGCGCCAAGACTCGCTCTCCAGAGACGGCCGACGCCCTCCGTCGCGCCTCGTCTCCCATCAAGCGAAGCTCGCCTCTTGTCGTCGACACCGACTCTGGTCCCCGCCACCAGAGGGCATCCGCGCCCGTCAACCTCGCCGAAAAGATGACCCCCCGGGTCGTCACCCGTCCCGTTTCCCCCAAGACCAAGGATGTCGATGAGCAGTCCATCTGCGTGTCGCCCAGCTGGGAAGCCCACGGCCGCCGCCGCAAGGAGAAGAAGATGGAGAAGCGCGAGAAGGAAGAGGCCGCAAAGACGGCTCAGGCAAAGGCCAAGAAGACCCGGCTTAGCAAGCAGCCCCCGCCAGCCAGCTCGACAGATCCCCTGAGGAGGGCAGAGGGCGCCGTGCCGGAGCCTCGTGGCCGCCGTGTCGACGCTGGCATCAAGAGTCCCGACAAGGAACGTGCGCCGCGCAAGTCCCGAAGCCGCTCGAGCTCCTTTGCCTCCCTCATCAGGTCGCCCTTGGGCTTCCGTCGGCAGTCTGTCGACCCACCCGTCGAGCCCGAGTTTGTCGGCGGCATCAAGCTTGAGCTGCAGAGGCACCTCGCCAACGACAGGGTCCTCGATCAGCAGGCAAAGGGAGATGAGTCCGCCACTCACCCTGCACTCCGCCATGACAAGGCCAACAATTCCATGACCGAGCCCCTCCGGTCGCCGCCCCCGCCGAATCGTCCTTCGGGCGAGCCCAAGGGTTCTGTCACGCGATCTTACCCGCCAATCACCCGACATGAGAAACACACGAGGAAACGGCCGCTAGTCTCGCCGACGGCACCCGCCGTGCCTGATCTTAGCAAGATTGGCCGGTGGCGCGCTCGTGTTGGTCTGAAGCCGTCAACTCAGCCGATCAGTCCGACGTCTGCGGCGCCAGAAACACAGTCCAGCGAGGTCGAGGATGCGGGGGAGCCTGAGAGACACCAGAATCACCAGCCTCGGACAAACGAGACGGTGGCGGAGTCTCAGGTCAACGAGGAAGCCGTCGAGAAGCCAGCACCGGGTGCGGATAGGTGGACCGCCGAAGAGCGTTCCATGGAGCAGGCTCACCACATTGCTTTTGCGGGCATCTCGCCCGCCCACGATGATTTCAGCGAGGCTACAGACGGTCAAGAATACGAGTACATCCGCCCCAACTCTCGAGGCAACGCTTCAACCGGATATCGAACCGCTCCGTCCACACCGCCCGACCCGCCTCGTCGCAGCCCTCGTCGCAGCTCGCTGCTGCACGCGGACGATGCCGTGCCTGTCCCCCCGCTTCCCGCCGAGGCTGCCGAACCGCTCCGCGCCTCTTCCAAAGCGGAAGCGTCGGCGCCAGGGCAGTCGGCTCGTAACATGGAGGCTAGGAAATCGACGATGCCCCCAGATGGTATCGCTCCTCAAGCTGCCGATAAACTTGACGCGTCCCGCGAGGCGGTCCGGCGCTCTCTGTCCCCGATGCTGCGGTTGGCCGAGGCCAAGGCACTGAAGTCGCCCACTTGGACGACTCGCACAAAGAGCCTACCCGTCAGCTCCCCGGACGAGTCGTGCTCGGACGAGTTCCACTCGCCTTCTCCACCGAGCACGCCGGCCACATCGCGATCCGTGTCTGACAAAGGGTTGCCCACACCGGGCCACGGCGCCAAGGGCTTCTCGTTTGACTCGACGGCGACCAAGGTGTCCCACGATGACGCTCGTCCTGCCGCGCGGATCAGTGAAACGGTGGATGGCAAGGGAAACCACGAGTTCAAAGACCAGGTTCTTGCGTCCTACCACGAGGCTACGGCGCCAAGTCCAAGCATTGAACGCCGCGGCGACCATGAAATGGGGGGGCTCGTGGCACACCGCACTTTTATCCCGGTGCCGAACCATCAGTCCATGGTTACCAAGGACAAGGGCGCGTCGCGTTTTCCGCGCCTATCGATGGTGCCTGGGAACCAGTCCTGGAGAGCACCGCAACTAAGGGCCATATCGCCACGACCCGAGGCGGCCAACTACCTCGAGGAGGCGCGCCGACTGCCCCCCGCCCCCTCGGCTCGGGGCCTGAAGACGCGACTGGGTCCTCCTGCGTCGTTTGCGCTGCCTGGGGACCTGCCATCTCCTGCTACTACACGCTCGGAAGGATCGCGACCGTCGGATGCCAGCCAACACGCGCAGTATACAACGACACCGGGCCTAACCTCCCGGGACCGCGACCCGATAGCCAAGATGTTTGTCGAGTGCTGTCGCTGCAAGTTCTACCATGACATGCCGAGCAACCTGTACGAGGCCATGGCGAGTCCCGAGTCGGCGCTGAGCGGCCGGGACACGATGGGGTACGCGGGGGCCATCTCGATGACGGTCAAGTGCCCGTGGTGCAAACACGAGATGAGCACCAGATGCTGCGCGGGCTTGGCGGCCATGGTATACGTGACGGAACGACTACACTGAGGTGGAGAATGGAATCATGTTACGCTGGCTTGGGAGACTCTAATGGCGGATGGATGACAGTCCTGCTCTCGCTACACGGCCTTTTGTGCCACACAGCGTGGGCTTTAATGCGCTGGGAAGGCTCATCGGCAGTGGTGAGGCGGCCACGATGATTGTGGTCCTGGCCCATGACCAACATGCGCCTCGGTTCTTGCTGAAGAGGCAAGGGAGTTTAGGACGGTGGAGTCGATTTGCTTGCTATTTAATCTTGCTGGGTATGAATGCTCCGCTGTACCTAGTCATGACGCTGCTGAATCCGCGACTGGAAAGGCTTGCGCAGCCCAAAGCATGGGGGCAGTCTCTTTTCTACACATTAATGCGTGTCCTATTCTCGTTGGTGAGCAGACGATGAAGATGAAGATGCTGCTGCTGATAGCTAGGGGCTTATGGGTTTGCTGCGATTGTCCTCTAATCGCTGCTGCAGCTCGGACAGCCTGGTGGCGAGCTTGTGGTTCTCCTCGAGTGTCCTTTCTCTGCGCTCCTCGAGGTGCTGCTTCTCGCGGATGGCCCGATCGAGCTCTCGGCGGAGGATCTCAATTCGAGCAAGCAGCTGCGACCTGTCAAGTAGGCTGTCGTCATCCTCGTCCTCGTCGGGGGCGAAGAGAGCTCGGGGCAGAGGTGGAGAGGAAGATGCATACGCGGGATGGGCCGTGCTGGATGCGGACGCCTTATCGTCGGCTGGGTAGGAGGGAGAGCCCTGGCGCGCGTCGTCGGAACAGATGATGGGGTCGACGATAGTCGAGGGGACGAATGGTGCGAGGCCGACAGACCGCGCGGCTTCGGCGAGCATGTCTTGGTAAGGGGTCTGGGAGGCGTATGGCGAGACCCGCGGGACGTCGGGTAGCTCTTGGGACGGGGATCGCGAGGCTCGGGGACTGGAGTTGGCTGGGCGAGGGTCGGATTCGTCGTCGGCGTCGGCGTCGGCGTCGTCGTCGAGCTCCATGGTCTGAGGATAGTGCAGCTTTGGAGGCCGGGGGGTGTCGGATCGCTGTGGCGATGTGGGAGCCATGGTTCCACAGGACGAGGGCTTTGCGGACTGGGGTAAAGAAGGAAGAGATTGGCCTTGGGCCGAGCTTGAATTAGCGGAGAGAGATTTGCTTTGCGGCTCTGCGTGGCGCGCGGGTTTCTGTCGAGATGCTGTGTTGGGGGGCGTTGTCTGCAGTCCTTGACGACTGCGGACCAGAATGTGACGAGAAACGCATGTGGGAGCGGGAGAAGAACAGCAGGCGGACGGGATCAGAGTTGGAAGAAGAAGAAGAAGAAGAAGAGGGAAGCGCGCACACGCACACGCACACGCACGCGTCGCAAAGCATTGCCGTGAACAGGGGCGTCGCGGGAAGGAACATTGAGGCGCGCCGTTCGTTGTCCATGGCGACGACGGGAGACAAGAGGGTGAGCATTGGGTGTTTGGAAGAGAGGGAAAGGGCAACGAATTGCGCAGGCAATGCGGACTGGAGTCTTTCTGGAAGCGCTCTTGTTTGCAGCTGGAGAATGCCAGGGCGCGTGCATTGGGGAGGAGAGCAAGGTGAGGAGAGTAAGGTGAAGAGAGCAAGGTGAGGAGAGCAAGGTGAGGAGAGCAAGGTGAGGAGAGCAAGGTGAGGCTCAAGCAAGTGGTGGAAGGGAGCTGAGGGTTGAGCCGGGTGGCTTGGTTGGCTGTGTAACCGGCACCCGGGCAGAGGATGAGTCGAACCCGTCTTTTCGAGTTGATCCAGGGTTCAGTTTGCCGTTCAAATGCATGTCCGTTTTTATGTAAGTCAGTCGACGTCGACAGCGGCGTCTTGACCAAGCAGGCGGCGGCCTTTGACGGCCGAGCCGAGCCGTTTTCCGACGTCGGCGAAAGAGAGAGATACCTATGTCGTTTCTAAAAGTCAGCTGTTTCCGACATGGCTTTGAGATGCAACTCAACTGCCGAACCGATGCTGCAGAATCGAAAAAAGCCGCGCCGTCTCCCCCGCGTTTCGGCATGGGCATCGTGGCCCGCAGCCGACGCCCCGGTTTTATTTTCCTTTTGGGGACCGCTGCATTCTTCAAGAGAGGGGGCGTGGTTCTAGAAGCCGCGTGGACCACGGGCGACTCTCCATGCGCATCCCCATCGGCGTCCTCGGAACCGACAGACTCGACAACAGCGGAGAGGCGGGTGGGCCGGCCATGGCGAACAAGAAAAACACGGGCTGCAGCACCTGCACGCGGCGCCGCATCAGGTGCGACCTGGCGCAGCCCGCGTGCAAGAAGTGCAACAAGAGGGGGCTCGAGTGCCCGGGCTACGGGCCGCGGCTGCGCTGGGCGGGGGGCGTCGCCGTGCGCGGGAGGCTCAAGGGCCGCAACGTGCCGATTCCGGGGCACGACACGGGCGGGGCAGGAGGAGGAGGAGAGGCCGCCGGGGCCGAGGCCGAAACTAAGCCGGGGCCGGGGCCGAGGCCGGAGGACGGTGGCCGGGCGGAGCGGCCTGCGGCCGAGGCCGCCGTCGCCGCCGACGACGACGCCGACGGCGGCCGCAGCCTCGGCCGCAGCCCCGACCTGACGCTGCGCAAGTCGGCGCGGGCCTTTATCGAATACTACGACCGCAACATTGCCGGCCTCATGGTCTGGTTCGACACCGAGGACAACGACTACCGGCGGCGCGTGCTCCCGCTGGCGGCCAACACGCCGGGCCTGCGGCTCGCCGTCGCCGCCATCTCGGCGCACCACGGCGGCATGACGTTTGGCCAGGCCGTGCCGCGCTTCTCCGAGGAGGCGCGCGACGCCTGCCTGGGCCTGATCCAGCGCCGCGTGCGCGACATGACGGGCCGCCTGATGACGGGCGGGTCGGCGGCGCTGACGGGCGAGGCCGACATTGCCGATGCCGAGTGGATGCTGGCCGCCATCCTCATCATATCCACGTACGAGATGGCCAATGCCCAGGCGGCGGCGGCCGAGAGCCATCGCATGGCGGCGCGGACCATTGTCAACGTCTTTGGCCATCACGACGCCTGCGCCGCGCGCGTCTTCGACTTTCTGCGCAACCAAATGTCCATCCTCGACATTCTCTGCTCCACCACCTCCTTCGACCTGGCCGACGTCGAGCGCGCCGTCCTGCCGCCTCGGAGCATGGCCGACGGCCTGTTTACCCAGTTCCTCGAGGCCCTGCACCACGTCACCCTCGTCTCGCGCCGCCCGGGCTCCTCGGCACCCCCCGACGACAGCGACGACGACGACGACGACGACGACAGCGACGCCAACTGGCGCAGCGCCACGGCCATCCGCTCACGCTTCGAGCAGGCCACGCGCGCCACCATGCTCGCCGCGGGCCGTCTGCAGGTGCCGGCGACGGCCGTGGGGCGCGATTTCGTGCGCCTCGTCAACATCTACCACGACGCCGCCGTGCTCTACGCGTACCGGTGCCTGGGCCACGTGGCCGCCGAGCACAACGACCGGCGGGCGGCGCTGGCGCGGCTGTTTGCGCAGCTGGCGGCGCTCGAGGACGCGACGCTGTGCGCCCAGAACCTGCCCTGGCCGGCCTTTGTCGCGGGCACCGAGTGCTACGGCGACGCGGGCCGGCAGGCAGCCATTGCGGCCCTGCTGGACCTGATGACGCGCGCCACGGGCTTCCGCCACTTTCTCGACATCCTGCGCTTCCTGCGCATGTTCTGGGCGGGCCCGTTGCCTGACTGGCGGCCGTTGGCGAGGGACTTGCAGCAGAGGGGGTTTCGCATCTTGGCCGTCTAGAGGGGGCGGATGGAAACATGGAAGAGTTGTTTTGGGGAGCAAGGCATGCAAGTTGAAAGGGGGCAATATGGTGGTGCTGGAGACGACTGGGTCTGGACAGAGAGACGCTGCCAGAGCACACAAGACGAAATCATGGGCGTTTGATGGCGAGGATCATGTAGAAGAGTGGATTGGAGAGACGACACGATGATGAATTCTGGACCAGCATGAGTATGGAGTTGTTTACCAGCACTGGACTTGGTCGAACAGCAGGCTCTTATGCTTCTGCCAGGTCTCGATCTGAGGCGTCCGGTGAAGCTCGCTGCCCCCGATCGATAGACGTCAATGAATAGAGGCTGAGGCTCATGAGTTCCCGATTAGCCTGATGTGGTAATTGCACGCGGATCAGATGGATGAGCCAAGAAGAGGCCCTGGAGGATGTGCGATTGTGCGGGTGAACAAAGAAGAGTCCCCAGGGTCCTATCACGTGACCTCCACTGCTTAGATCTGACACGATTCAACAGCACCGTTTCCACGACGCCTCTTTCGCCCACACAATCGAAACAAAGCTAGCTCGAGGCTAGTCGGAAGTCGTTTCTTTTTCTATTCCTCCCACACCTCGAGTCAGGGATCCGAAGTATGCCACCAGAAAGCCATTACTGACATCGTTCCTACCCGTCACTGATGACGGTGGACCCATTGCAAACATGCTTGAGCCGCTTCTGGTCCTCTCACATAGCAACCAAAAGAGGTTAACTGGCATTTTGGCCGAGTGGTCTAAGGCGCCGTGTTCAGGTGGATGAAGAGGGTGGGTCGCATCACTCTCTCCACTTCACTCGCGGTCTAGTAATAGGCGAGGGTTCGAATCCCTCAGATGTCATTTTTTTTAATTCCCTTAGATCTATATTTTTCTTTTACTTAATTTAATTAGGTTACTATCACGACCTAACAAAGGTCCTAGTAGGCTATAGACTAATATATAGCTATTAAAGGTTAGGCTTATATACTAATAGGCGCGCTCTTTATTCTTAAAAGTTTAGATAATACTATCGCTATATCTAGAAGTACTAAATATAGTAGTTAACTAGGACCCCTTTTAAACGTCCTATACGCTTAAATTATCCTCCCTATATCTAATCTATATTAAGTAAGGCTATAGTAATAAATATATAGTACCTTAGCGTAAGCGTAATTAATATATATAAATATATATATAATAGGTCGGCCCTATAAGGGCTAAAGTAGTAGTTATACTACTATTCGTTACTATAGGGCAGCTATTTAATTAGACTACTACGTTATAACGGTAGTAGAGGGTAAAAGAAGATAAATTAACTAAGCTACCTAGCTAGTTAATTAACTATGCCTATTAATAGTCGGTTATATAAGTTTAGCTAGGGCGTATAGTATAGCCTAGCCTATAATAATATATAAGCTATTACTATATATAGCTAGTAATACTATAGTTAAGTACTAAAAGTTCTAGCTAACCTTACTTATATAGAAAATTACTACCTTAAGGCACCCTTTTTAATAGCGTATTATAATATTAATAGAAGGTTAATTATAAAGCTAAAAAATAGACTATATATAATAGTAAGAGGAGATTCTTAGTATTATAGCTAGTACTTAGTATACTAGCTATAAGTAGTAATAAGGGCTTAAAGTACTAAGGTATTAATTCTATAAGATAATTAAGGATATTATCTTTAAGCTCTTCTTATACCTTAACTACTATATAAGAGAGCTTTTACTTAGAGGTATAGTTCTATAAAAGGCTTAAGAGCTTAAGGTAACTCTCTATAATAATCTTTTTAAGTAGCTTCTATATTTTTTTTATAAGGTTAAGGTTAAGTAAGTGTAGTAGCTAGTTAATTAACTCTACCTTATTTTTCTATACCTACTATCTAAGCTATACTTATATAATACCTACTATATAAGTTAAGGCGTTATCTTAAATAAATATATAACTAAGATCTATAATTATAAGTAGGCTTTCTTATAGTATTTTAAGTATATAGCGTATAGTAACGCCGCTATACTTTAAGTTAAGGTCCTTAAGTATTAGTATAAGAGAAGTCCGCCGATTAAAGGAGAAGCTACTTTAAAATATCTAGGAGTATTAAGTAGGCTTTCCCTTACTTAGATATTCTCTAAAGTTAATCTATCTCCCTATTTATCTTATAAAGAGAAATATAAGAAGTATATATAAAATACCTAAAAGTAAAATTAAAAGTAAGGGATTAAATATATTACGAAGTATAGCTTAATTTATATTCTTAGAGATATCTTATAGTAAGAGGGACCTAGGAAGCTAAAAATACCTAGTATAAAAAACGGAAGAAGGAGCTAAAAAGAGGTATAGAAAAGAGGGTAGGGGTATAAGGGGAAGTAAAAGTAGTAATAGCTTCCTATAAAGGTAGTATAAGATAAGATAGATATACTAGTAATAGCTAGAAAAGAGGAGAAAAACTAGTAAAAAGCTTAGTAATTAAGAGGATATTAGTAGCTTCTTTAAGTAGGATCTTCTTTATTAGTCGAGATATTAAATAGGTATAAAGAGGGGCGTTAAATAAAAGAAAGAAGGATAATAAAGGTAATATAATAATTACTCCCTTACTATAATTATTACCTTAGTAAGAATTAAATATCTTTGCCTTACTTATCTAACCCCTTACTTTTAATATTACCTTTATATATTTTATATATATTTCTTTTATCTCTCTTTAGGAAAGTTATAAGCCTAGGAGGAATAGAATTCTTATACCTTCCGGCTACTATAAAAGGCACCTTTCTTATATTCCTCGTAGCTTCCTTTTAACCTTCTTATTAGAAAAGCCGATTTTTAACTAACTTTTCTACCCCTTCTTTTATAACGATATTAAAAAATAACTCTACCGCCTCTATAGTCTATAAGACGATTCTTATAAAGCCCTAAGATTAGGATAAGTAGGTAAAGGAGCTACGGGCTTATATAGATAAAACTATCTATAATTTAGTCTTTTTTAATAAGTAGGACCCTCTTAAGCCCCCTCTTTATCTTAGGGTAACGGAATTTATAGAGGGAGCTTCCCTCTTCTCTAAGCTAACCTCTATATAATAAAGAGCTTTTTCTACTACCTTAGGTAATTATAAGAGTTACTATAAGGAATACCTCTATAAGATAAAGATACTAACTATTATATATATAGTAATAATAGAATATATTAGTACTATAAAGCTAATCTCTTTTTAAGAGAAAGAGACTCTTAAGTAATAGCTTTTAAAGCTTAAGACCTTAATAGCTCCCTTAAGGGGCTATATAACTAACCGTATTAAAAAGACCTATATAGTATACTTAGGAGCCTTTTTTACTAGGAACCTACTAGCTTCTTCGTAGTTAGCTAAGTAAGAAGAGATCCTTAAGGAGGCTAACTAATACTTCTTAATAAAAGCTCTTTCCGGCTAATAGCTATAGGATATATCTCTACTAATAAAGCCTATTAATAATAGTTACTTAACTATCTTTTAAGAAGCTAGCTAGGAACTAAATAAAGAAGCTACTAAAGTATAATAATAAGTAGTCTTATTCCTATATAGCTAGCACTCGACCTAGATAGCTCGACCTACTACCGTTATAGCTACTATAGCCCTTCTTACTATAGCCCTTACTACTATTACTATAGCTGCCCCTTTAGCTCCTCCTCCCTTAAGAGCCTAGACCCTATCTTTAACGGCTGCCCTTATCCCGGCCCTAGCTTTACCTACTACTCTAAGCCCGGCCCCGTTAGTCCGTCTAGCCTAACCAGTCCCTTAATAGACCTTTTAGTCCGTTGGTCGAAAAATTAAGGAACTAGTCGAAATCGAGCCTTTTTATTAAAACTAGTAATAAGGGGTAAAAAGGGGGGGTTTTTAAGTAGATCTTCTAGACTAAGATAAGGATTCCTTAAAGAAATAAAAGACTAAACGAAACGGCTACTTAGCCTATAAATCCCTAGGCTATTAGTTATTATAATACTAGTAGGTCTTTTAAGAAAACCGACCTAAAGGATTTAACCTTTTAAAGAGGTTATAAAAATAATATAATAGTCTCTTAAGGAGGACCCCTCGTTATAGAAGAAGATAGATAAGATTTAGGTTACTAAGAAATAATAACTAACGATACCGCTACCTTTATTCGAGCTATAAATTTAAGGAAAAATTATTAGTATAGTAAATCTAGCCTTTATCTTCCTTATAGATTAATAAGACTACTTATTAGGACCCTCTAACTATCCCTTATAAAAATTAGCGATCCTTAACTCTAGTACTTCCCTTAATATCTATAATACCCTTTTATAATTCCGGTCCTTTAAGAAAGTATAAAGAGAATACCTTATTACTAGGGAATTAACTATTTAAATAAAGGGGTATTCTCGCGAAGAGAGATATAAGAAGTATATAAAAATACACGAAGGTGAAATTAAAAGTAAGGGGTCGGATAGGCAGGGCAGAGAGATTTGATTCTTATAGGAGCAGCAATTGCGGCAGGGGAGTAATTATTATATTGCCTTTATTGTCCTTCTTTCCTCTATCTAACGCCCCTCTTTATACCTATCTAGCATCTTAATTAACAAAGAAGATCCTGCTTAAAGAAGCTACTAATGTCCTTTCGACTACCGAGCTTTTTGCCGGTTTTTTCCCCTCCTTTCTAGCCGTTGCCGGCATATCCGTCTTATCTCTCGCTACCTCTATAGGAAGCTATCGCTACTTTTGCTTCCCCTCTTGCCCCTACTCTCCTCTCTATACCTCCTTTTAGCTCCTTCCTTAAAACCTGTTTTTTAGCTTCCTAGGTCCCTCGTGCCAAGGGATATCTCCGAGAACTACGAAATCAGGCTACGCTTCGCGACACACCCCCTTAGCTATAGCCTGCCCCTTAAGGGCATAGCTAATACGGCTTCGGGCTAGTAAGCGTATAGAGGAGGTTCTTAGCTCTGCACTTCTCCCTTTACTCGAGGAAAGCAGGGGCCCTTTCGGGTCCCTAGGCTCTTTTAGACCTACTTAAGGAATAGGGGCCTAAAGAGGGGAAAGTCCTATAAGAAAGGGGGCCTTCTTAGAAGGGAAAAACCTAATTAAATAGGGGGCCCTTTAAAGGGAAAAACCTCTTCCTTTTCTTCGGCTATAGACGTTACCTTCTTATACGGGCTATTAGCTCCTCTCGTAGACTCTTAAGGCAGGCCTCTAAGGATAGCTTCTCTCGAACGTCTTCTAGCTTAATTTACTATAAAAAGACAGCTAGCTTCTACTTTAGTAGGGGCTTCGTAAGACCGTCGGCTTTTATTAATACCGTTAGAACCTAACGGACGGAAATAAGTCCCCTTTAGACCTCTTAGCGTAACTAATGCTAGTAGATATCGATATACCGTAGCCGGGTCGATAACTTACTATTTTCTATAAGAATTCGTATAGTCTATATATTATCGCATTCTATAGTTAATAGGGTCGGAATTTATAGTTATAACGATATTAGTAGCCGGCTAAGGAAAATCGCTTCTTTTAACGCTTTTAAAAGAGCTAGTAGCTCTACCTCTATACTAGAAGTCGTAACGGTAGCCTACTTCGAAGCTCTCTAAGTAATAGTTCCTCTAAAAAGGGATATAATATACCCTTATAAGCTCTTTCTATCTAAGGAATTATCTATAAAGGACGAATCGCTTAAATAAAGGAAGATTTCGGTAGCTTATTTCCTTCCTTGCCCTCCTAGGCGTAGACTATATAATCTCGTTAAATAGAGATAAAGGATAGCTCTATCTACTACTTCTTAATGCCTAGGGCTAGGATTCTAGTTATACCTAGCTAGCTAGGAGACCGTAAAAGAGATATCCGGTCTAGTAGAAATAGCTAAAAAAAGCAGGGAGCCTA